GACGATTTGAACATTGGCATAACCTTGTGATACTAAATATATTATGTCATAAATCGGAAACCTGTAGGTACGTTAAGATCTGTCTCAACAAACATTGCTGTCCTTCATTATGTGTGAATGTACTTTAACAAGGAACTGTTTTAATTTGTTTTCAATTTACAGAAATATAGGTACAAAAATTTTAATACGTAATTCTAATATCAATATATTTCAATATTTTTATAGATAATTTAAACATTTTAGCAAAAATGACATAATCCGACGGTGCACAATATCTTTGCATGTAGTAATGCTTGTTAAAAAGTGTTTGAAAAAAATTTTTAGAAACAAACGTACCTATTCTATTATTATTGAATAGCATTTGGATTTAACACAACGAATTGGATATCATAATTACACGCCCCGGGCATAGCCCGGACAGACCTGCCCATTCGTGTAACAGCGAAAACTGTCGCGACACACAGAACACCAACGTGAAGTAGAAGTATTACATTTCTGCGTTTCGTCTGGTGAGTGAGGTAGTCGGGGCCCACTTTATTAAAAGGTGGCTACGCATCTGCAACCCTACGGGTGTTGCAAATGTTCATGGGCAGCGGCTATCACTTAACATCAGGTGAATCGCCAGCTCGTTTGCCACTTTATCACATAGAAAAAATCTTACCATAAAGTGAACAGATTTCTATTGTGCCTTTTCTCCTATAAAAATACCAAGGTAAGGTGAAACGGGTCAATAGTTTGTAGAAAGAATGGAAAAATATTACTTATCCTATCTTTCTTCACGGATTGCAATGCAGTTCTGTCCTGAAAATTCATTGCTTATAATATAAGCAATGAATTTCAGCGGCCGAATTCCACCATCGGACATCGCGCCAGGACCAAAAATTTCATCCACACCACCTCGATGTCCAACGTTCCACAACAGCGCGATTTTTAAGGCATTTCTTGCCTCGCACAACCACTCTGTGGAACCAACTACCGCCGGCGGTCTTTCCGAACCGTTACGACCTGGGAACCTTCAAAAAGAGAGCGTACTCTTTCTTAACAGGCAACGCATTTGTGAGCCCTCGGGTGTTGCAGGTGTTCATGGGCGGCGGTAATCACTTACCATCAGGTGAGCCTCCTGCTCGTTTGCCCCTTTTCTCCATAAAAAAAAATATAAGTAAACACATATTGCCTATTTTTTTCACATATTACAAAATTTACGACATTTATCCGTATCTTTAAAAGTAACGTTAATTAAAAATCAGTTCTTTTAATCGCCCATAGAAGCATTAAATGCCATTGTGTTCATATCTATTACAAATTTAAAGTAATATTAACCATCTAGAGCCGTGATAGCTGTGTCCGGGCGCTCGCCTTTAATTACACTTATACTCGCAACCTGAGTTCGATCCACGGTACCAGAACCAATGAAATTGTTAATTTTAAGTGCTGAATTATCTCTGCTCGGCGGTGAAGGAAAACATCGTGAGGAAACCTGCATATTTTCGAAACGATAATAATAAAAAGGTTTCGAAAAATATGTGAAGTCCGCCAATCCACAGTGGAGTCGCGTGGTGGACTATACCCTGATACCCTCTGTACGGAGGAGGCCTTTGCCCAGCAGGGGGACATTAATAGGCTATTACTTTACTTTTTTTTGTTAACCATCTTAATCTTCATCTAAAATTAAAAAGATATTTGATAAAAACTAATTGAAAGTGCAACATCTACTACTGATATCTTAGTAGGTTTTCATTTTTGTTTCAGATTTAAAATCTGAACCTAAGAAGTTCTTGCTTCAGGCTCTGTAGGTAATATACTATTGTCTCAAAATTTAGTAGAATTCATTACAGTATACATGTCTTAACTATGTAATATATTTCATAATCGTTTAACAGTCTATGATCAGAACGAACTAGTACCAAAAATTTCAACTAGATGGCACTACTTGTTAGAAATTGATATTTGTTGTGGCAATCCGTATTTACAAATTACAAAAAGTGGCGGTTGTCCGTTATCTGTGAATTAAAAAAGATAATTAAAATTGTTCTGCTTATGTTTTATAGAGAGGTAAGTATTTGAAGTTTATTGTGTAACGTTATTTTTGTACACTTTTAACGTATTATTTTCTTTTTTGGCGTTTATAGCGATTGTTGCCCGTACTATATACAGTGGTGGCTTTTGGTGTATCCATTTTTTTTTTATTAAATTCTACACATAAATAATGTTATATAAAAATGATAAATATTTAAAATCACTCTTAAGTAATTAATTTCATTCATTTGAACTTATCTCAAAAAGTGTGTGATTTATACGCAACTCATTTATTTTATCGCGCGATCATTCATAAGTAACACGCACACAAGTTCGTGCACAGTAAAATTTAGGTATTTATGAATGACTACCGCATTGTCAACACGTTCTGTTTTTTTAGGGAATAGAATGGCATTTTTTAGAAAAAAAAAACTTTATTTCAATAAACGAACTACCGAGTCTGAATCTTCTGTGTAAATTTGGGCACTTCTCAAAAAATCTCCCTGTATACTTCAGACGAAGTGTAAAATTTTCTTTGATACCTGTTATGCTCATTGCTCAAGTAAAATAGTTGTCGAAAAAGTTCTGGTGCCTTGGAATCATACGCGCTAACCTCATGACGATGTCACATGAGTCACTCAAATCTGGCTCTCCTTGTAAGAACAGATAAGTACTCTCTACATGTTTCGATTTCTGTTTCATAGGCAAAGATAGAAACCCCACCATTCCATTGTGCTTTAGTGAAGCACTTAACTGTGGTACCACACAACAGCTCCTTTTCATCATGTGCCTCCGAAAGCGGCCCAGATTAGGCAAACGTCCGCAAGTCTGATAAGAATCTGCTTGCAATTTTAAGTGTGTGTGACAAATGCGGGGTGAACTTATGCTATACAAAAGAAAGAATTACTTCAGAAACTTTCATCTTTCGTAACAATTAACATTTCATTCATTGTACAGTTCGACAACTTACATCAGTGTTGCCTAAAGGCAACAATCTTTGTAAAGCAAATTTTTGTGTTTTTTTTTTTGCAAACAATATGAATTCTATAAGATGAAGTAACAGTTTTACAAAATAAATGCAGGCATTTTGTGTACTGAAACAAAAAAAAGGAGAACAATATTTTTTGGAGTTATTTAATAAAATAATTGTGACTCTCGTCTCATATACAAAAATAATCTGTATTGTGGCAGCACTGTGCACACTAAAAATAACAATTTTAGCTGACTTTGGAACACTAGATAATGCTTAAATACAATAAACTCTGTATTGCCAAGATAGAGTAGGTTCATATACACGGTCGTAAATATATTAACTAAAACCTCTAAGAGACCAAATAACACAATAACAACAATACTTTAACATAACCTCGTTTTGAACCCACTTAAAACTAATACGAACAATAAAATATTTCAAAATAACATCTGTTTTTTTTTTTTGGTAACAGGCAACATTGGTATGATTTTATTCAACTATATATTTTATAACCTATAATAGGGGGTCTAAAAATAAATATAGTACCTTTTCGTTCACATTTATAAAGGTCAGTCCTTTAAGTCGATTTAAATTATGTTTTTCTTTCTTTATGGAGTTAATTACATTTTTTTTTCGATTATCGAGTATTATAGACAAATATAAGTACAAAAGTCAAACGCCACACTTATTAGAAAAAAATCCCTACTAATAAAAAATAACTAATAATGCTTGGTAATGTGCAGAGTAAATATTTACGTAGTTAAATCTTAATTATGAAAGCCTAATACTCTGTTAAACATTACATCGGTGACCAAAATCCAAATCGATGTACGAAAAATATTGACCCTGTACTTGAAAGAATTGTTGCTACACATCTTATGTTCTTGGAGACCTTTAAAAAACTCATTTATAGTCTTTTTTTTAATTGGGTTAACTTGTAAAAAGAACAAAATATATAACATCATATACTTAATCATTACAAAGCTAAAATAACTTGTACTTGTTCCGTTAAGAATTTAAAATAAACTTTTAATATGGTATACAGAATTATCTATTACATTCAAGTCAATAAACACGAAGTAAATCGTACAAACCAAAGTGTACTTTGTCTTACAGTTATAAAAAGTTAGTAACTCCAAATTTTTAGTATCGCTTTTAATTCTGAATATTTAATCTTTTTTTCACTTTCACGGAATAAGGATCGATTATCAATAACCGTTCAAACTTTATTAAAAGATTGTTTTTTTTTTTCACTTTGATGACGTTTTTTATCATAACGAAATAGTTAAGTGATCTAACCCATTGGATATGAGTATAGATAGAATCTCAAAATTACCGTGCGTCTGTTGATGATACATTACATATTGTTCAGTGAAACTATTTGATAGATTTAATCGCATTTCATTTGTCCAATGGTGACGCCGTAAAATATATTTATATCATTTAATACTTAAATATAGGCGCAAGTATTATTGTAAAACAAAACCTGTGCCGATACACTAACCGCCCTAAACTTACAAGGCACTGACAATATTGAAAAAACAGATTAAAAGCACAATCATCATGACGTCGATATATTCAGTAAAAAATCATAAGGTTTATCTTAAAATTGGTTTTCTTTCTTTTTCCAAATTTTAATTAAAAGGATTAAAATCGAAACAGAATATATTGAAGTTAAAACTATTTCTGTACGCCATATAACCTTATTAATAACAATGCATATTGAAATACAAAAATATATCTGCGCGTCAAAATTTCGACCTAGGCGTAAAAGGAACAATACGTGTGTAAAAAGCGTACATCCGTGAATGATTCCACAATCAATAAACATAAGCCCACAAGTTGACTTTAACCACCATCTATAGGCAAGACACAGTCGAAACAGCGTAATCCAGACCCCCGCGAGAGTCTAGTCGAGGCCATCGACCAGAACGCCCGACGGAATCCCGGACCATAGACAAGTGAACGCGCCCCGCGCTAGGGACTAAACCGGGCATAGACAACCCGATCAGCACTCGATGGCGCTGTAGCCGACGACCCTCTGGTCGGATTCCGGCTGCTCGCCGTCAGACTCTGAGCAAGACCTTTGCCTGGTCCACTCGCTTTCGGGATCGGAGAACAGACCGTGGTCCAACAACTCCTCGCCATCATCGATGTCCAGATCGTCTGCGGGTAATGTTGCGACGCACTCCATTTAATACATTAAGAAAGAAAGAAAGAAGAAACGTTTATTCAGATGTTGCATACAGAACATAGAAAATAATGTAACTACACAGTATATAAAATAATATTGGAAAAATTTAAAATGAATGTAAACATAATAAATTTCATAGTTTTGAGATCTGTTGGTTTTTAAGATATTTGTGTAAGCTGACGGTATCGCCATCTACCTTCTTAAGGTTCCACTGAAAAGCAGCTTTCATGAAGTTTTTTTTATTATTAATCTTCGTGAATTTAACGCTGAGTGGTAACTTTTTTGGTGCACTAATAAGCATAAAATATTTTTTCTCTTTGTAAATAAATTACTGTGTTTATGTGCTTCATGTATTTTTAACGTTTATGTACCAAATAAATATTTTTCTTTCTTTCTTTCTAAGAACAAAAATAAAAGAAAAATATAAGTGAAGGTCTGTGTAGCAGCATGAGACCGTGAAACCAACTCGAGTACACACATTTGAACAATTGATGGCGTGTACTGATTATCAACTAAATTACTTACTCACTAGGAGAGATAAACAATAGTATTTAGAGATGGCGTGTCAAGTCAATTGTTTCCATCAACTCAATGGTTTCCCTTTTTAAAAGTTTTTTACTTCCCATATATTTAAAATCAATTCGCTTAGTATTAACATTTACATATCTCGTATTTTATAAACTGTGTTAGTAACTAAAACACGTTATTTTTACACAATTTACAATTTCTCCTGACCTCGTCCTGGCAAGTACCACGACCTCACAGAAGACCGGTGTTAAGTAGAAGTATCATAACTTCGCGTCTTAACTTTTTATAAGGTTTTCAAGGCAACTATTACCCCAGGGGTTGCCATATATGTATGGCAGTAATCACTAAACATATATAGATGAACAATCTACTCGCTTGACACCGTTCCACGTAAAATAATAAAAATCCAATGCTAAAGATGCAATGGTGTAACTTTGTAAGGGCCACGAAACATTCTTCAGTGTTGCACGAATGGGCAGGTCCATATGGAGAAGTACCACGACCTCACAGAAGAACGGCGTGAAGCTAATGTCCGTGGGCGGCGAATATCACTTAACATCGGGTGAATCGACAGCTCGCTTGCCACATCCTAACACAAAAAAACACGCTTTGCAAACATTTGAAATAGATTGTGGAAATTTTACTTTGATTAAACGGAGCGGTCTGATATGATAAGATTATTAAAATTCGTATTCTTGCAAATAATTTACAAAACACGACCCCAGCGAATGTGTTCGCTGATTACGAAGTCACATTGAAATGTTAACGCAATCAAATTTCCACGGCGAATTTAAATTTCCACCGCGGATTTTTAGATACATATATATCTTCGAAATATTTATTTTATTATTCTTTCGAAAATATGAAGGTTTCCTCACCATGATTTTTTTTCGCTGAGCCATAAACTTGGACGACTTTAATACGAATGAGATTTTCACCAATTTCTACAAATCACTTTTACTGTGGTAGGGCCATGCAACGGTAGTATATATATATATATTATATACTACCTGCTGCCCGCGACTACGTCTGCGTAGAATAGGCTGAAGGCGTAATATTCAGACAGAAAGTCAAAGTCAAAGTCAAATATCTTTATTCAATATAGAAGCATTCACTTACTTATTGATAGTCAAAAAACTATACCACCGGTTCGAAAGGTAAGCCACTGACCTGAGAAGAACCGGCGTAAGAAACTCAGCGGGACATTATTTTTTTACTTGCCAAAAAAATTACAAATATGTGTACAATTATTAAACTCCTATTAAACTCCACTTGAAAGAGCCTGGAGCGATCAATTCATTTCCAGAGTGTGTTATCATTCATATAATCACTAATACTATAATAGCCATTAACACACAAACGTTCCTTTACAAGTTTTTTGAATTTAGCAACGGATTCATTTTGAACGTTTTCTGGGATTTTGTTGTAAAAGCGTATACATTGTCCCATAAAAGATTTACTTATTCTACGCAATCTAGTTGAGGGTAGAACTAATTTATGCTTGTTCCTAGTATTTACATCATGCACATTACTAAATTTTGAAAAGTCATTCTTATTTTTGTGGACATACATAACATTAGCAAGTATGTACTGAGAAGCTACAGTCAATATTTTTATTTCTTTAAACAGGTTTCTTAGTGAGTCTTTGGGGCCCAGGTTATAAACCGCTCGAATAGCTCTCTTTTGCAGGATGAAAATAGTATTTATGTCGGCTGCATTTCCCCAAAGTAGAATGCCATAAGACAACTAATTTATACTGTGGAAATAGCTAAAATATACCAGACGAGCCGTATCCACATCAGTCAACTGTCTAATTTTTTTGACTGCAAAGACTGCTGAGCTAAGTCTACTCGACAGTTTATTAATATGGGGGCCCCACTGCAATTTGGCATCTACGGTTATGCCAAGAAATACAGTCGAGTCAATGAGGTCTAACGCTTCCCCATGTAAAAGTACATCAGTTTTTACACTTTTTACGTTGGGAGTTGTAAATTTAATACATTTCGTTTTTTTACTATTCAACATTAAGTTATTAGCACTAAACCAATGCACTACAGTGGAGAGAGTATTGTTAACGTCGTCATAATTTGTCGTTTAACTTTAAAAATTAAAGAAGTATCATCAGCAAACAATACTATCTCATGATCATTTTTTATAGAAAGACAGATATACATAAAACTTGTATTTAAATTATAGCCTATGTCTTATTCTGATGTAAAAGCTGTATTATTGTAGTTTCATTAAAATCCATTCAGTAGTATTTGCGTGAAAGAGTAACAAACATCCATCCATACATACAAACTTTCCTGTTTATAGTTTTAAGTAAAGAGTGAGGATATTCGCGAACGAGCAGGTCCGTCCAGGTAATTGCCATGACCTCACAGAAAACCGGCGCCAATTAAAAGTGTTATACTTGTGCGTTTCGTCTGATGAGTGAGGTAGCCGGGACCCACTTTATTGAAAGGCGGCAACGCATTTTAACCGTGGTAGAGCCACGCAGCAGCCCAGGCTGTTGCACGAATGGGCAGACTCGTCCGGGTAAGTACCACGACCTCACAGAAGATCAGCGTAAAGTGGGAGTATGACAAATGATTTCGCGTTTCGTCTGGTGAGTGAGGTAGCCGGAGCCCCATTTCCAAAGAGGTTATCAACGCATCTGCAAACCCTCGGGTGTAGCAGATGTCTATGGGCAGCGTTATTTACTTAATATCAGGTGAACCGTCTGATCGTTTGGCAACTTTTCACATAAAAATAAAACGCATCTGCAACCCTTAAGTTGTTGCAAATGTTCTTGGGTGGCGGGTATTGCTTACCATCGGGTTAAACGCCAGCATATAAAAAAAATTCACATCTGACCACCTATCTGAAGTTACGAGCTTTCATTTCTAAGTAAAGAGGTGCTTTTCACCAATATAAGGTTCCACACCATCGTTGACGAATACACTTCGAATGGGATTTTTACTTGATTGCTTAAAATCACTTTACCCCTGTCTGAAGTAACGAGCTCAGGACATTTTTCCCGGGCGCAAAACTGACGGTATCCCGGTCTAAAAATGACACTAAGACGTCAAAGCCTCGGTCTGTCCCGTGACCATGAATGCTGAAAAGGTTTCGAAACGTCGGGAAGTAAAATTAAAAATAATAATAAATCCGTAAAAACAGTTTCATTCAGTAACAGCGAACTGTTGCGTGGCTCTACCACATTAATGGTCCTACAACAGTAATGGCCCTACCACAGTAATGGCTCTACCACAGTAATGGCCCTTCCACAGTAAAGGCCCTACCACAGTAATGGTCCTTCCACAGTAATGGTCCTTCCACAGTAATGGCCCTACAACGGCAATGGCCCTGCTGCAGTAACGGTCCTACCACAGTAATGGCCCTACCACAGTAATTGCCCTGCCGCAGTGGCATTGCACCAAGATAAGGTTCCTCACCTTCGTTGACGATGAGGTCCGAAGACCAGTCGTTGTCGAACTCCAGTTGCTTGTTGACGTCTCGCTCCGTCGGCGACTGTACCGCCTCCGTGTCCGCGTCCGTCACGTCATAAATCTCCGTCATCTTCATCTGGAAGTGAGTAACTTCCATTGTCTCATTTGATACGCTTTCTTCACCATGCAATTTAAAATGAAAAAATTATGTACATGATTCCCGCGTTTCGTGGTCTTCACTGGAATGGTCAAAATTTGTGCACTGATAGTAGATTTTGATGTTCAAGACAATGCTAGAATGAATAAACATCGGCTTTGAGCATATAAAGTGAATTATAATAAACATAGATTTTGATTTTGGCATTTTTGTGCGATGTTGACAACCCGCTCTCCGTCTACTAGGCACTCAGTAAGCTAATAAGCTTAATAAATGAATTAAGGTTTCTACAAAGACACTTACTGTACACAATTACTACTAGACGGATAAAAAAGCAGGTAAGAGTCTGTCAATTATATGCTGTAATATATTAGTAAGCAAATGTATCTGTAAATAGAATATTGAAATCGGCCGTTATGAATTCATAAAGATCGGGGATGGAGATGAATTCATAAAGATAAAGGTCTAAGAGATCATCCGTCAATCACGTGATGTTTTTTTAAGCATTTAAAACCGGCAGTAAAACCGGCGAAAAAAACTCAGCGGGACTTTTTTTACCATTATTTTACAAAAAACATGTTTAAATGTATTGAGGTCCACTCGACTCATTTCCAGGGTGTGTTATCATTTAAATATTCACTAATATTATGTTATAGCCTTTAACATACAAACGTTCCTTTACAATTTCTTTTGAATTTGTTGTAAAAACGTATATATACATTGTCCCATAAAAGATTTACTTATTCTACGCAGTTCAGTTGTGGGTAGAAATAATTTATGTTTGTTCCTAGTAAGTTTGAAGTAAAAATATTGTACGGTGATTAACGTCTCAAATGTCAGGAAAACTAAGACTACGATTGGAGTTTACAACCCATTTGTACAATTTGGGACATCGAAAATTATGTCATGTGTCAAATGCAGCCTCAATGACTTTATATTTTGTAATTGAGTTTGACATGACGTTGATTTTGAACACTTCACGGTCGCGATAATGAACAAACGAGACTGGTGTTTCATCAAAAAAGTTTCATCAATCAATTGTGTACTAGGATCCAAACAATAATGAGTACTTCGATCTTAAATTCAAAACTGATCCAGTATGTAAACAAGTATGTTGCTCGAACTTTTCTTTGTTCAATTTAAATGACCACAATTACAAAAACAGACGTTTAATGACTGTTAATCATTCAATCTTTATAATCGTCGCCTGCAAACGATCTGCTCTATCGAAAGTTTCCGTTTCTGCGTTTCACGTTGTAATTGCCCTTTAAATTTTTCGATATAAAGATGGACAACAACACAATATAATAACTATGAAATAGTTCAATGAACATGCCCTTTTAATTTTTCCATACATACAAAGATGGGCAACAACACAATATAAAAACCATGCAATAGTTTAACGAATGACACAATGAAATATCTTTCTTTTTTTTAGCTGGATGAGTCACTGTTGGCCTTAGGGGCCTTAACAGATCCGACGGACTTGAGCTGGCCTGGCGCTCGGGGCGCCTAGCCTGAACCTCGGGAAATATCTTTCGTTAATTATTTATATAACGCACTCCGTATAAGCGTAAAACGCAGTCGGTGGTCCGTTTGTCGGAAATAAGAAGAGAGAGATGCTGGTGTAAACAAAAATCGACCCGCTGACCCTAGACAAGTGCGCGAACATCGGACGATGCCGCGTCGAGGCGTGGACGCAGATAACGATTGCTACGTAGCAAAGGCGGCCGTGAACATTCGCCCGCATTGCTCAGAACGGGCAAAGTACGAATAGGCAAATCAATCATTAGAACTAGAAACATACACATCTAAGTAACACGAGAAGAAATAGAACAATAAACAAAGCCATATTTTAACAGCAAACACTGGAATCGTCCTCATACAGCGATATTTATCGCGATATTTGATTTTGCCTTTTACAAATTTTCGAACTGTTATCAGGTCTGGCTCTTACATGGTCAACGCTTTCAGTATTTTCAAGTTTGTAATGTCAAACTTACTAGAAACGGATTAAAGTTATAGGACATGTGGCAGATGTTTTAATGAGAATTAGTGTCCTGTAAGGCGTTTAAATTAGGTTGGCAAACTAGCTGATAGAATCCGAAATCACGGCTTCTGACACGGTATCCAGAAAGAAAGACACGATTATTCTGTTAAACATGGAACTACGGACACATGGATAATGGGTCCTAAGGAACGTTACAGCTTAAAACGTTAGAACATAAGTAGTATAGCATTTCTGGTACATATTATGTTTATGTGTACGAAGAAAACAGAATTTAGGAACTTTTTCACAATTTTTTTGTCATTTAGATAATCACTGGAATAATAGCATTGTTTATATATTGTTAGTTATAGCTGTTTGTCATATATTGTAAGCCGATTATTTCGATTCCCAGACGGGACAAGTATTTGTGTGACCCACAGATAGTTGTTTCGCTTCTGGGTGTTTGTTTGTCCACGCGAAATTTATGTTTGTAAAACGTCCTTACAACACAGGATAATGTTATCCCATAGTAAGGTGAATTTAAAAAAAAAAGGAGTTTCGCACCTTGTTATCGCTGTCGAGGTAGTAGTAAGCGAGCAGCGCGTCGTTGTGCGATGTTACGTTGAGTATGTGCTCGAACGTATCACCGTCGGCCACCACGTCTCCGTAAGTCACTCGAACCTCGCTCGCGCGTCTGAAAACACGGATGGACTTCAATCCTAATAAAAACAATTATACTTGCTGCCTCTTTCAAACGTCCAAATCTAAAAACAAATTCTTATTGTAAAATGTCAGCTATATAATCCTGTATATATATCATAGAACATATTATTATTATATACATTTAATAGGGTATTTCGAAGATAAAAGCTAGTTATAGACGTTTCAATTTTATTTTCAGATTTGAAAGAAATTTACGAAGCGTGCCGCAAGGACCTCGCCTCACTCCATTGTTATTTAACAGGACATTTTTACAATGTTTTTCACTACTTCCGTATAGCTTTCTGTGTAATATGGAGTAGAACATAACTCAAAAGCATAAATTAGAACGCAAAAGTGTCTCCATTCTACGCGAAACTAAACCACGAAACATTTGTGTGTGGAATACACACAATGTTTATATGCTTATCGACAACTGACACAATTAGCGCAATCAACCAGCTGCGATGAGAGCGGCTTCACGATATCGGCATTTGCCAGCTGATATTTACTGGCATATTTTCAACCTCAAAATTATTTCTTTACATTGCTCAAAAGGGATTAAATACAATTTTGGCTCCAAAATTCTGACAAGCACATATTATAATTAAAACCACATCATAAAAATAATAAGTACTTTACGAAAATTCTGAAACAATAGTCCTTCAAGTTTCGACCAAATTTGGACGAAGTACAGATATTTTAAGCGTAAATTAACGTCCGTGCCTTCAAATAGGATTCTAATATGCGCCGTTCCACAAATCACACGAGATCCATTTGGGAAGTTGAGAGGATTCCGAATAGAATATATCATTTTCGACCATTAAAGTCCCTCCGGCTGGTCATAAATCATGCAGGCTCGGGGTATAAGACGGGCGTGTTTACAGCACAATGTATGTTGACAGGACCCCTAACAAAGAGCAAAGCGGTGACGTCAGGGTGGCGGAGATAGCGCGCCAATTACTACCGCCGCCACTTGACCTCATCGCTGCGTAATGAATGCTCCGTTATCTGTGTAAATTTGCTTTTAATGCGCCGGATCGGAACGGCGGCGCGCGTGCATTGTTTGGATATTTACACGAAAATTTCGAGTCACGCGATATTTCGAATTATAGAAATCACCAACCAACGACTTCATGAGTGTGGATCAAAATTAGATTTAAATGGAGTAAAAAAATTTTTCTTAAACGAATGGCTGAACATCAGTTATTATGGTTTTCCCTTAAAAATTAAACATAGCAACAACCCCATATTTAAATCATCCGCTGTTTTAGCTGTATACATTCTTCTTTTCTTTTTTCCAGCTTAATTGTTACCATGTGACAAGTTAAATTTAATCCAAAGAAATATAAATTTTAAAGTTTTTTATAGTGCTAATCTCTGCACTTAAGATTGAACATTAACATTCGCACTTTTTCAAAGAAACATAAATATAAAATGGAACTGGAGATGTGAATATATCTTTTGTGGAAGAACTGTCAACTGATGAAATTCCATAGACTTTCCCTAACACCCAGAACCGACACATACATCTATTGGTCACACAAATAGTTATCTCGTGTGGGACTCGAACCCACGACCCCCGGCGCCGAAGCCAATACCTTGGCTACTGCGCCATGGAATCACCTTCAGTGATTCTTGCTGATACTAATCTGAATTATTGAACTGTTGGTAGATCCGACTGGCAAATCAATCTAAAACAAAACTTTGCTAGAATTTGAAACACAGTCCTTGAAAAGTTCTGTAGAATTCACTTTGACGAGGTTTTGTGCACTTATACGGGCTATTGCTCGTACGTGAACATCAAATAATAGGCCAAGAGTCATAACATAAAATGTGCAAATCGTTAGCAACATTATTCAATCGCTTTTTATCACTTCATTATTTTCTAAACAAAATACTATCGATATTTTTATTAAAAAAATATAATACGTCAATTAGATATGGCAAAGCTTTATAATACTTTCAAGGATAGTTTCCAGATAACTGATTACGTAATGGGCAGTTGTTAGCTAATAGCCCAGTGACACAATTTCGCGTAAACGATTCCTAAATGCAAACGAAAATTGGGTTTTTGCAAAAAAAAAAAACTATAACTTGAAAGAATAACATATAGTTTTACGTTTAATCTTTTTTTTTTTTTTCACTATACTTAGAGCCACATCAAATTGAAAACTGTAATCAGTACTGAGGAAGCGCCGAAAGTTCCCGAACAAATGGGATCGTGCGTGACGTCACTACGTTTAATTCTACATTACAAGCGGCTGATACGATGCCGATGTTTTAAACTTTTAACGATTGATCTTTTTAATAATCGTCAGTGTTTGATAAATTTAATAAAAATATGAAATCCTAAAAGCTATAATGTTAAACGTTGACAAGTAGAACCTAGTTGCTAATGCATGATCATAACGACCTACAACGAAACACATATAGGTGTAGATACACATAAATGAAACAAAAAACTCGGAAATATGGGAGAACGTATATAAATTGAAAGAAAGGAACAGCCTATAAATGTCCCTCTGCTGGGCAAAGGCCTCCTATGCAAAGAGAGATTATCAGGGCATAGTCAACCACGCGACCCCACTACAGATAAGCGGATATCACATATCTCCGAAATATTATTTCGAAAGTGTTCAGGTTTCCTCACGATGTTTTCCTTCGCCGATGAGCACGTGATAAGTCGGTGCCAGCACAGGGTTGCTCGAGTAAATTGAATTAATAGCGAGCGCTCGGACACTTAATTATCACGGCACGCGAACATAATTTGAAAATCGAAAATGATTGAAAAATACCAAACAACTTAATATTGACGCCTGTATTAAGGTCAGTGAATGTTCTTGACTCAAGCAAGGTCGATCCTATCGTTACTATAAAATGTGAGTCATCCACAACAATGCATTGTTGTGACTTTAAAGGAATTAAAACCTGGCAAACGGTCAACGTCTTTGGACTTTCGACGGCTAAAAAATCGATAATGACTGTACGTTGATAATCTGTTCCACGTTTATTAAAAAATATAATGAATAACATGTTTTAAAAGGTGTTAAATACATTAATATAGTTTGTACTATGTGTGTATGTTGTCCATGTAAAAGTTGCCGGAAATAGCGGTTGGTAGATGATAAAGATGGGTAAGAGCGATAGAATGTATGGGCACCACACCGTTTATACAGCGTGTCGTTACGACCGCGACAATAAACGAACACACGTCTAACGCTACTTGCCATTGTTCATAAAAATCATAAAACGTTAAAAAATCCATAATTAAAAAATATATTTTTTAAACAAACTAATTGAAGAAAAAAGAAACAAAATTTGTAACATCCTATACAACTATAACTGACTGATTCATACATTCAGAGACTTCATTCGTTGCCACAACATTGCATTACAAGTCTCTCCTTCTAACAGTAGGTTTTATCTCTTTTAAATTCATTCAACCCTTTCATATGCTTTCTGACCTTTACAAATGAACAGTTTTATACGTAAGGATGTTCTAAAAATGTTTGTTTTGTAAAATTTAATAACTCGGTAAATATTGATGTTTAAAAAATGTAAATGCTTAATACAATTTTAAAAAGTTATCCTCTATATGTGTGTTCTTTTAATGTCGCGGATGTAACCTGAATAAGAAGGATGCAATTTATCAGATATAGGCCGTTATGTATTGAACTATGTATTGACGCGCTTGGGTCAATTCATAGTGCGCACAACACTTTATTTTCTATAATTATATAAATATCTATTATTCTATTCCTCTTTTCATAAATACCTATCAAAATTGGATTCTGATTAAAAAAAAGTTGGAATCCGCAGGTGGATCTCGCACTATAAGCACCCGAGATATCGCGGATAAGTGATATAGTTTAGGTACTCTTTTTAAGAGTAGGTCTTATTTTTGGCGTTAGAATATGATATTATCAAATATATAAATTGATGGCAAATCAAAATGCCTATTTCTCCTAAAACGACTATATACTCGTTTTATATAATTTATATATATTATAATATACGTATTATGGTCCGCCGGAACCGCTATGGATATGGCTACAGGTCCTCCTCCAGTTTTTGATACAAAAAAAGGAAGAAAGATCATAAAAAGCAGTATGTATAGAAGTCTTTTCAGATTATATTTTGTTTTATTTTAAACTACCTTTTCGCCCGCGTTGAAGCCCTTATATAAATACCTTTCTTTAACATTTCAACCTTTTACAACACTTTTTTCCAATTAAAAATCCCTATAGCCTGCGTCCTTTCTCAGGCTCTAGACTATCTGTGTGACTAGACTATCTGTGTACCAAATTTCATTTAAATTGGTTCAGTAGTTTTGCTGTGAAAGCGAGACAGACAGACAGAGTTACTTTCGCATTTATAATATTAGTATGGATTTTCAGCTAGCGTATGCTTGCATATAGATTTCCACCAGCGAAAATTAAACGCAATAAGTAAAAACTGTTAAATAACATTAATTACGTAAAATAGAAAATTATGCGATTTTCAAAATCGCTTTTAGATGTTTAACAGTCTGTCTGAAAGCTAATCTAAATAACTACTCTAATTATTCGAATAATCCTATAATACTTCTTATCATATTGATATCATTCGACCGCGGTGTAATTTGCTGACGGATGTTTATCAGTGAGATATAGGTGCATTAAAACGTGATATCAGTCCAAGTTATGCGAAAGTCAAACGATTGTACAATTTTCCCCTTAGAAAATATTTGTATCACTACACGAAACAAATAGAAACCGTGATTTAGTCGTTGGAATGGCGTTGTGAACAAATCCGTCGTTTCCGAGTATGCTCAAAAATCTTGTGCATTCTCTCTTCTTACAAGTCAATTTTTAACCGACTTCAAAAAGAGGAGGTTCTCAATTTGACTGTATTTTTTTTTATGTTTATTACCTCAGAACTTTTGATTGGGTTAACCGATTTTGATGATTCTCTTGGCAAATAAAGAAGGGGGGGGGGGGGGGGAGGCAATTACCATACCTATACATATTATAATTATGTTTGTGATTTGAACTACATATAGTTTCGGTCAATGTGGACAATTGGATAATTTTATAATGCATTATGTTTAGTCCTCGGTTAACTTTTCAATTCACATCTGTCGGAGCAGTATAAAAAACATGACCGAAGAAAACCTCCAAGTGTACACAAAGTTCTTCAGTAAACGAAAAATTTTAATAGTTTTTAGGGTTCCATACCTAAAGGGTAAAACTGCACCACTAAGACTTCACTGTCTATCTGTCGGTCTCCCATACAACAGACATGATTTGGCGTTTTTGATAATGATGCGGAACCCTTCCTGTGCGAGTCCGACTCGCACTTGGCCTTTTTTTTTATGTGTACGTAAACAAATATTGTATAACCTTAGGTTGTTCCCTTTCTTTGTAAAGTAAGCGAAATCAAATGAAGGTTAATTGATATTTTACTATAATACTTGAAGCGTTCAAGAACACAGAAACAATGAAAAACTTATTTCTTCCTATGTTAGCTCCGTATCGCTTTACTTCTATGTAGTATCATACTTCCAGAGCAGGGAATAAAATCTGTCTCCCTTAAGGCCCATTTACACGGTGCCAGTTTCTTGCCTGTTGTATACAATTAAATTGAAGCAATAAATGAGTTGCATGGTCTAAACAACAAATGGTCTTAACAATTATTGCGCGCAATTTATTGCATTCAATTATTGCTCTTGTATGTACAAGAAAATGGCATCGTGTAAATGGGCCTTTACTCGTAGTATTTGTAAACTATGTGACCAATTGCTCATAAGTTTTTTTTTAGTTGTATAGCATGAGGACCGATAAGATAGTGAGGGCAATTTGTAAGACTTGTATTGTTTGATTCTTAATTGTTGTTATTATTAAAACATAAAAAGTCATAATTGACGGAACGTAAAACTGCACATGTTTATAGTTTTTAAACCTTATCAAAGTTTTGTTTTTAAATTAATTGCGTATATTCAATAATCATGCAATTAAGAAATATGAAAAAATTCAAGATATGATTCGTCATCGACACGTGAATAAGAAGAAGAATTAAGAAATTTCCTTCACATATTATATTGGATTCTCAACGTTTTCTTATCTCTCTTGGGCAGGTCCGTCCGGGTTAGTACCTTATGCGTTTCGTCTGGTGGGTGAGGTAGCCGGGGCCCGTTAATTAAAAGGTGGCAACGCATCTACAACCCTCCGGGAGTTGCAAATATCAACGGGCGGCGTTTATCACTTTAGCCCGGGGCCCACTTTATTATTTGGTTTATTATTTGGGCCCACTTTATTATTGGGCGGCGTTTATCACTTTACTACAGGTGGACCGATACCTCGTTTGCCACCTTCTCACATAAAAATCCGTTATTTTATCGAGTGGAACGGAGTCACGGGAATAAAGTGCTATATAGCAACGAAAATTCAAACAAATAGAATGTCAAGGTGAAGTGGATTCAAGGACTCACCTCCTGTCCAGCCTGTAGTCGTCAGCGTCCTTCTTCGCGTCCAGGGCCAGTTTGTAGTAGATCCTCGCGGCGGCTTCGGAGCGGTCGTGAGCCGAGTAGACGAAGGCGTGCAGCTGCCGCAGTAGACTCCAGCTGAGCCGCCACAGCGACTTGCTCATCTTCGGGGTGCTGGTCACGAATCTGTTCGTTCGGGAAATGGTTTACGGCTGGAGACTGCTGTTTAAGCGAGACAACTCGAAGGGCAGTTAAGCTACTGGCTTTGGCTGGAGTCCTGGGTTTGAATTTTGAAAAGTTTTCTGATTTTCTTTCTTCGTCCACGTAAATGATAGGGCTATGAATTACGTCCAGGTAAAGGCAAGTTTTAATTCAATATACTCGAGCAACCTGAGTTCAATCTCCGGTGCCGGCACCAATGAAATTGTCAATTATAAGTGCTGAATTATCACGTGCTCAGCGGTGAAGGAAAACATCGTGAGGAAACCTGCATATTTTCGAAATAATAACAAAAAAAAATATTTCGAAGATATGTGAAGTCCACCAATCCGCAGTGGGGCCGCGTGGTGGACTATGCCCTCATATCCTCTGTATAGATGAGGCCTTTACCCAGCAGTGGGACATGTATAGGCTGATACTTTACTTTACTTTTTACTAAAGGCAAGGGCTTTTGTTTTATTTATTTATTTATAAAGGAATAGGCTATAAACAGGGAAGGATGGAGGGTGTTCATAGCTGAACTATTAATGCTTCACCGACAAGAGCCCATCTTGAATGAAGGAAAGAAAGAACCTTGGGTTTGATTCCAACGTGAGACAAGTATTTGTGTGTTTGTTGCCAGCATAAACCACTTACATTATTTAAATGTAGTACCATCCCCAGCTAAGTGGGATTAGTGCAGGAAATGACATTTTAATGAGAACTTTATAAGAAGTGGAAAGTTTATAACAAGTAATTTTTGGATGAAATTGCACGCTGTCCGTTAGTGTTACTTTATATTTGTATGTCCTGTATAAATGTATTATTGTATGTAATGTCTATCTGTTATCTTTGGTTTACAATAAAATATATTACGATCTGTACAATTGATGACGGCAATCTGACGGCGCGGGACACGTATTTTAGCGAGAAATGAATGTAGTGAGATTATTTGTATCCTTAGTGACAATAATTAGTATCTGTCAGTTACATATATATATTATACATATTTAATAGAAAAGTTTTATTTTATTTTATTTTATGCGAAAAGTTGTCAAACGAGCAGACGGTTCACCTGATGTTAAGTGAATACCGCCGCCCATGGACATCTGCCACACCCGAGGGTACAGATGCGTTGACAACCGTTTGAAAATTGGGCTTGGGAAAGTTTGGGAACTAAGAACGTACGTATGCTAAAGTTGCATCATTATCTCAAGTTTAGCAAAGTCATAAAGAGCTTTATGGGGAACTTAATTAAGACACCATTTTGTTTTTCAATCAGAAATAATGTTTCGAGCGGAATAATATTAAGGATATATCTGAAGAGTATATTGCGGAGATATGCTAACAGTGACCACATGTATGACCAACAGTTGTTATTGTATTTTCATACGCGATATCTTGTTTACCGCTAATATATCGGAAGCCTTGTTTCTACAAGTCCTAACAGATCTTTAGCTTCGTGATTCATGTAATCACCAATCACGTCAACACCATAACCATGACTATTGTCATGTCTGATGGCAAAATTAAGTCATTTTTCCAAGAACATTAACGAACCGTTTAATTTTATAATAATAACGCGCATTTTAATGGAATTTGGCGGAAGCTTAAATAATTCCAAGTGCCTTAAGTAATTTATATAAATACGCTAGCCTGAGGGTTAATCGCACATTGTTCTGAGCTATGATGATAATTATAAGAAAATACCTTATACAAATATTACTTTACTAGCTGCTGCCCGCGACTACGTCTGCGTAGCTGAAGCCGTATACATAAAATATGTATATAAATTATAGCCTACGTCTTATTCTGATGTAAAAGCTATATTATTGTAAAGTTTCATTAAAATCCATTCAGTAGTATTTGCGTGAAAGAGTAACAAACTTCCATCCATACATACTTTCGCGTTTATAATATTATTATTAAGGGAGGGTTACTGTAATCCACGAAATAGGGGCATTCCACGGTCCACCAGAGCCTATCGAAGCATATGATAACATATTTTTTCGTCCGTAGCTTGTAGGACATTAGATACCTATTGTGTTTTCAAATGTTAAAAATCTTGTCGATAAGTTGGCGAAAAATTACATAAATGTTTTCCCGAAATGGCGTAACAGACATCCGGATTTTTTTAACAGTAAACATAACATTTTCTTGCGTTATTTTCTTAATAAGTATAACAAAGTGCGAGTCGCACTAGCGCACGAAGTGTTCCGTACCATTATTTATAAAAACGAGAAAAAATCATGTCTGTTGTGTGGGAGACAACAGTACGTTGTAATAACACGTAAGTTTAATTATTGCAAAATTATATATAAAACTAAGTTTCAACATCGTTTATTTTTGTATTGTTTCAGCATAATTACCACATGAAGGTATAGAAATTCCACAATCATTCTACGAGTTGACCACAGTTGAAAACCGTAGGAGAAATTGTTTTTAGCAATCGTCCGCGACGGTTTTCTTGAAATGTTTTCACTGCGAATGGGCGGACTTCAAACATCCTCAAAATATTTTTTTTCTTATTATTTCGAAAACATGCAGGTTTCCTCACGATGTATTACTTCAACGCGGAGCACGTGATAAGTCAGCACTTAAAGTTTACATCATTGGTGGAACAATTTACAACATTATACCCCGGGGATCGAACTCAGGTCGACCGAGTATATTGAATTGAAGGCGCGCGCCCGGACACTGAGCAATCACGGCTCATGCATAACGTTATTTAGCTCATGCCCATGTGTAGTGTACAGAAATTATTTTCAAACGAGGTTTATATAGTACTAGCGACACTTACTTCACACGGGTGTAATATATATATACATATAAAAAGTAAAAAAAAACCGCATCAAGATCCGTTGCATACTTTTAAACATCTAAGCATACATAGGGGCATACAGACAGCGGGACAACTTTGTTTTATACTATGTAGTGATGTCGGTCAGTCGGTTAGTTCACGAAGCGGAAACAGTCAAGCGCTGGCGGTTCCAGCGTTACCAACCGGAAGTCGCTGCTGGGCGAAGGATAAGTTATCGCGCGATTCGGCCACATTTCGATACAGATCGCGCAAGGTCGAACGGAAAACGTCGGGTGGTGTAACAACAGAAGTTTCGAGGCGCGCGAATAACGCGTTCTATTATCTATGATAGTAAATTATCTATAACGTTAGATAGATAATATATCGAATCGTGTACGATGGTAAAGCCTGTATGTAAATTAGACGAGACAAAAGCTATGTAATTTGAATAATATGGTGTACTTTAATTTGAATCTTTAATTTTTTTTCTGAACTTCATTTATCTTACTGCTTACAGAATCTACGACCAGCAAGAACTGCTGGCCCCGGTAACCTCACTCACCAGACGAAACGAAGAAGTGTAACACTTAAACTTCACGCTGGTCTTCTGTGAGGCCGTGGTACTTACCCGGACGGACCTGCCCAATCGTGCAACAGCGAAGACTGCTGCGTGGCCCTACCACAGTATAGTTTTACTCGCTTCGTGTGTAACGCATTTTTATTTAATCGATAATCATTCATTATTTACAGCCAAAAATATAAATAATGCATGATTATTGTTAGCCTGCTACCATTCTTCCATATTCCTCAACCGAATAACCTCCCGAGTAAAACCATTGAAAAAAATTTTAATTGAAAAAAATGGCAATCAAGAGAACTATAATATTATGGTAGGTAAAAATATTTTGTGTTTTGTTAGTAATTTAGGAAAAAAAATACAAACTAAACTTAACAAAAAAGTAAGATTAACGGCCGGTTCTAATATCTAATCTACAGATAGATTTAGAGCAAATGTCAAATAACTTTCACTAGTAACCATTGAAACCGGCCCGTAATTTAAAAAAAAAGTTAATCTACATCTTTCTACACATTAGTCTAGGGATTATTTAAGTGAAAAAATAACATAAGTGAGTAAAAACAATAAAACTGTAATAAATACTTTAAAGTAATTACACGTTTTAATGTCATAGTTCATTACTCGGTTTCTTTCCATTCGTGTGCAATGAAAAATAACAATTTCATAATTATATCGTAGTATTAACAATTAAATATAGAACTCGAGAGTAAGAAAATTACACTTCGCTTCAAAACAACATTTCTCCGACCACTAATTGAGTCATAACAACACATATGTAAAAACAAACACATAAGACATTCCACACAACCAACACTACTAAGATCCACCACCGACGGTCAAAGGAACTGATACCACACTGACATTTTTGACAATGCACAAAGCGAAACGTCAAAACCATGTGCCGAATTAAAAATGGCGGCTCTTTAAGAAAACAACCGGACAAAGGACGAATCGACCTTCAGCCACGGAGCACGATCCATCACCGGTTGACCCAATAGAGGAAAAAAAAAACAAGCAATCACTGACCTAGTCATTACGTTGTTGTGACGGACACACCTCCTTCTACGCACGCGCACACTGCCGACCACGGCGTACTGCAGTGCGTGCCTGTCTACCTTATCACCGATATAACTAAAAAATTGATCACAAATTTAAATCTTCACAGTGCTAATCTCCACGCTCGAGATGAAACATAACATATAAGACTGAGGTTTTCGTCGGTGTGGCAATTAGTTTAGCTTAGTGGCTAGAGCGTCCGGGCGCGAATCCCAAAGACTTGGGTTCGATTCTCACAGCGGCGAAAATCTTTTCGTTCCATTTTTTCTACAAAATTTTAATATTTTATCTTAAGTGCAGATATTGCATTCATACCTCATAAGCGTTAGAGCTTTGTAACACGACAACAAATCGTGTTCATTATTTTATATATACAGCCATTATATATAAATGAAATATTGAAACTGTCCATCTAGAGCAAACCGCACTTGTGTATATGCCCTAAATAATAAAACTGTCTGCATCAAATGCTAACAAATTATCAGGGCTGGGGCAAACGTTTGCACAAGCCTTAATAAGCCGCACAGATTAAAATTATACGATTTCAAATGGACCCAAGAAATTGAAGTTGTATTTGTTTCCTGATAAAATACATCGGTTTTAGTTTGTCGGCTAATATAATGCCAATATATTATTAATAACGGGTAAAAATTTTAGCCGAAGCAAACTACGTTTAGTACTAAAGGTTAGTTAAGTTCAAGTAAATACGTGATAGAAAAGACTGATAAAGTCAACTGGCATTTCAATCTGATATTTTTATATCATAGAAAATAAAAGAACCTAATAACGCTGCTGAAATTTTAAGATTAATAACTGACATCACTAACATGATCTTATCATGGAGGTGTCTACCCATAAAGCTGTTTTATAAACATTGCCAAGTAAAATTTTCATCCACAACTAAGGCAAGGGCATAAATGCGAGGCATGTATAACTGCACGCGAAGAATTCGAAGCAGATTGAATGGGAATAATATAAAACAATAGATGTCAAGTAACCCCCTGATATAAAAGAAACTAAAAAGCTAACAACCATCACGATCACGTCAGTTTTAAAACAAAAAAAAACCGTACCATAATCACCTTTTGAAGCTACAATGCCACAGACAGACACACAGATACCACTGACAGGCGCGTCAAACTTACAACACCCCTACCCCTCTTTATACGTCGGGAATTAAACTGGGTTATAAAGCAGTGACATTAGATCGTGAGTTGACCACCCAGCCGAATAAATACATGGCATAATGAGTATTTTGACGAGTCTTCTATGGTCAGGTCTAGTTTAGTAAACCGGTGGTGATTTTTTGAAGTTCAATAAGAGCTTAAAATAAGCCTATATTGAATAAGAAAATTTTGACTTTTTTTTGAAATAATAGCATCAAACAACTCCAAGCGATTCGCAAGCATTCAGAATCTAAACGAAACCTAAACCCATTACATCGGAGAAGCTACAGAACAAAGCAGGGGCGGTGACTAATTAATGAACGAATTTCCTAAGTCCTTTCGAAAAGAAAACGCTTTAAACTTTTTGTGAAAACAGCATACGGTATATATGTAAACCAAAAGATCTAGGGATGAATAGAACATTTTCCAATAAGAGACACAGATGATCCAGCCTTTAGAAATACTATTTCGAAGAAACCAGTGCTGGCCGTATGAGAAAGCTCTAAGTCGCTTCGCGGGCTATGGAGCGAGATATGCCCAAGCATAAATACCATTATTTCTCTGCGTAATAGAGTTCGCAACGAAGACATCCGCAGTAGAACAAAGATAAACGCCATAGCTCAGAGGATTAGTAAGCTGAAGTGGCGATGGGTCGGCCCCAATAGCTCGTAGAACCGATAACAGTTGGGGAAGTAAGGTTCCTCGAGTGGCAGCCTCGTACTGGTCATTGCGGTGTAGGTCGACCCCCTACAAGATGGAGTGACGACCTGTGCAAGTGTGCGGCAAGCAGATGGATGCAAGTGGCTCAGGATCCTGCTTCATGGCAGTCTATGGGGGAGGCCTATGTTCCGCAGTAGACTCAAATAAGCCGAAAAGATGACCACAGTGTAGAATGTAAGAGCAGTTTCGTTATCTAAATGGGAACAACACAACCAATGACCCATGACACAATTACTCCGCTACGGTTCCAGCTTCCAGGGCGCAAAGAGAACGATCGCGATATGGCGCTGACGTCACAGCTCTATCGCCGCTCGAAAATGTGACAAAATAAAAGCTACGAAAACGATAAACCTCGAGGTCGCGCCGCGCGTTTCGAAACGCCAAACCGTCCGAAAAAACATAATACCCGACAAAGTAAGCATCCACATAATGTGCAAACCACCGCGCAGATTTCCTTATCCGTCGATTGATCAATGAAAACATCCTGACCGCTTCCCGCGTTTTATTACTACCGGTATTGTTTAGGTATAACAGAAATACGTTATCGCTACGAAAATACAATACTGCGTGTTTCGAGTGGAATATAAAATTATGTCCGCCGTCATCGTCAAGCGCGCATATCGAATATGGAAGTATCACAGAAAATGTAGACAATTTCCATTTACCCAAACCAAATCAAATCAAATCATTCATTGATCAAAATAAGAAACTTACATATCGTCTATCGATAGTCAGATTTTTAAATATAATTGAATGATGTGCCTCTAAGGGAGAAGAAACAGGCGAAAAGAACTCCGTAGGCCTCGTTTTTGTCAACAATATTGCTTTATATGAAAATAAATGTATAAAAGTTTTGTTGACCTATTATGTATAAATTTCAAGAGAAATTAGTGCTTGATGAGCGCCGAAATATAGCTTTAAACGGCGCAGTATTGTACTTATAAAACATCGCACTATTTCTTCAATATTAGTACTTTGTAAAGCGATAAATTGTGCACACAAAATGATCTAGGGAACAAATGTTGACCTCACGTATCAAGAGCTAACGAGGGATTATCTCTATTTCTAACTTTAGAATTACAACAGTTCCAGCTAATGTAAACTGATGGCTATAAGCTAAACGGTACCAAACTCTTTGAAATCTGTTTCGAATTTTAGAAGCCATTCAAATACACGAAAAAATTTAGATGCAGTAAACATGTTTAAAATTTACCTACTAATTTAGTGAAGTTCACCCGGTGATGAAACAATATTGTCACATTTAAAAGTATTGGAACCTACAAGTAAAACTATTGACAATTTATAGATAGATTCTAAGTAGAATGTCACGTGTGTACAGTTCCAATATCGGTTAGCAATTCAGTGCTAGCGATTTTTATTTTCGTAACAAAATCGACAGCACTACGTTAAATATATATATAAATCTTACTTACATAAACTTCAAGCCAATTTGGATTTACATTGTTCAGTTAAATTATTTAAATTAGGACGGTAGAAAGACGTTAAAACTTTTAGCACTCGACATTATTATATTACTTTTTGTGTGTGTGTGTGTGTGTGTGTGTGTGTGTGTGTGTGTGTAAATGTGATCCCACTCACTTTGTGAACGTCGCGTACATGATGTCCACTGGTACCCTGTAGGGCAACGTCATCACAGAGACGCACCTCATCCCCCGCTGCCTCATCAGCCAGCTCACTAGCCCGCTGTTCGCCGACTCGATGGCGTTTTGGAATATCGTCATCACGGTGTCCGGTAAATCGTCGACGAGGGCGTCCTAGTTTCAAAGCGAACTTTTGACGCGGCAACGGCAAAACAGGTACAGTAAACTTATAATGAACACATCGAGAGCAATCACGCGTATCGTAGACACACACAATTTTAAAAGCCAGAGCAAGATACAAATGGAATTTTAGTGTCGATCCGTTTACACTAGTTTTGATGTTTTGATTTCAAACCTAGTTCTATACTCGTATTTTCTACATTGATCATTTTGACAATACAAGTAATAGTAGACAAACAATCCAGTTAAAAGGACCAGCATAGTGTACGGTTTAAGACTTAAAAAAAGTATTATTATATCAAAACTTCTAGAAGTTTTGATATAACTTATAGCTATAGACTATAGCTAGACTATAAAAATTGAAATGAGTTAAAGGACCGACACATCTTAGGGACGGACTTCAAGAAGAGAGCCTACTCCTACCTCAAAGGCCGGCAACGCAATTGTGACGATCGCTTACCATCAGGTTTTTTTTATATGAGGAAGTGGCAAACGGGCTTGCGGTCCACCTGATGTTAAGTGATAACCGCCGCCCATGGACATTTGCAACACCCGTAGGGTTGCAAATGCGTTACCACCTATAAATAAAGTGGGCCCTCTACCTACTTCACTCACCAGATGAAACGCAGAAGTGTAACACTTCTACTTTACGCCGGTCTTCTGTGAGGTTGTGGTGAACCCGCTTGCTCGTTTACCTCCTTCTTGTAAAAGAATAAAGGAAAACTCACCTGTCGATGGGTCTTGCACTCTTCGCACTCGGGGTCGTACTCGTAGGTCGTATCGTCAAGCACATCCTGTAGCTGAAATGTGGTCTGCACCGCCAGGCATCTGGTGCACGAGATCAGGTTGTTCCTATGGAGGAATCGGAGCGCGTCGTCGAAGCCCTGCTTGCACATGTTGCTGAGCACCTCGGGCTTCGGTGGGAAGAGGATCCGCGCGAAGCGATTCATGTTCTGCTTCGACAGTTCGATGCTTGTGTTGGCCAAGTTCACCTGTTGTTCGATATAAGCCAGCGTGACTGATTTGCCAAGTTGGGATATTTGTTATCCTAACTTTGCTCCACAACAACTGGCCATTTAGCCGACCAATGAGTTATTTGTCCTTTTTTTCCCTTAATTATTTATTAGGTTCAAGCCCTAAAAAATCCTGTCCCGTGAAGGAAACAGAAAAAAATCAACCCAATTAAATATAATACATAATGTATATTTACTAATTCAAATTACACATCACCTCATCCAGATCCGAAAGATTTATCTGAACCGTCCGTCATCAACCGACGCCGAACACACAATGCACATATGATCGCAGCGATTACCTCTCACTCTATCATCCCCTCTCTTTCGCGAAAAAAACAAAAACGCTTACGTGGAACAGCTGCGAACTGAGGTCCCGCGGGCAAATGTCGCTCTCACCGCAGAACGGGCTCACGGTGACCGTGTTCTCATCCAACACCGGTAGGTTATCACTGAAGCCGCCGTCCATGTAGCGGATTCCGTGAAAGCGTGGCGGCAACATGCCAGAGAACACTGGCACGAAGCACGACGCGAGCAACGCCTGGTGTAAGGATAGAAGTCACAATACCGGAACGGTCACACAAATATAACAATCGACTAATTTCTTTGTTCCAATGTTAAAAGATTTTACACTCCAAACTTACAGATCCACAGGTTTTGAAAAGACTGAATAGTGAATATACTGTACCCACTTATTGTCATTTTGATAACAAACAGTTGGAGAATAGGAAAGTACCTAATTGGAATTAACACTTAAATTAGTATAATTATATAAGATAAGATTAATACAATATTTCAGCGTATTAATCTCTACTTATCAAAACCTTTAGTCTCCTATGAAATAAAATCAAAACTGACCATAATATGCCAAGATTTAATAAGGGGTAAAATAAATGACAAATAAGTTATTGACATGAATCAAATTCCAATTCAAACCATACTTTCTCTTCTTATGTACGTATCTAAAAAAAAATCTCTGAAAATCGCCAATAGAAACATAGTCACCTGCAAAAGGTCTTCTCGGGTGGGGTAGTCGGAGACAATAACATTCTTTCCATCATAAACCCTGGTCAAAGATATGTGCAGTCTGCCACTGACGATCTTGTGCACATCATCAGGCAAGTGCCTCTGCATGCTGGCCAGAAGCACATTCTGAATGTTGAATGAAGGGCTGAAGGGCCCAAGGGACCCCGCCCTTGCTTCCCCAACTATCCTCAAGACATCACTGGTGATTTCACCTACCGAATAGAATGAAACCTGTTTATTTTCAGTTATTCAGGCTCAAACAAAACACCTTTTATGACTTGATTTTATATACAAATTCTGTACATTCCTGTATATTAGTATTCTCTTTACTTATAACTCCTTTGCCAATAGGATTTTTTGTAATAAATTATGGTGAATTTAAATTAATTACAAGTAAATTTTATTTCAATATTAAATTAGAATACATAATTGTACAATCTGATTTACTATTAATATATGTAGACCTTAGAATTTGCTGGTTTCAAGCAATTAATGAACATTGGCAGCCCTAACTATATATGACTCTTTATATACTAGAAAAGAGTAGATTTTTAGCAGACTGTACAAAATAAGGATTTTGTCAATCGGACTATATTATTTGTTTGCTAACTCGTAACTCTGTTATTATAAACCAATTTGGGAATTTTATTTCTGTTCGAAAGTCCGCAATCAACATCTAAATAACTTTAATTGCTTTACAACTATAAACATACAATTACTGTGATTGTATACTGTATTTTTTCTAAAGGACCAACATTTTAAAGATATGAAATCTACACCTTTGTGAGGCATTGTCCTCTACAAATAATCTCTATTTACCGTTATTATCAAGTGGAAGACAGTTCTTATCTAAATGTTGCAAAATATTAGTTACTAACCGAAACATATTTTCATTACAAACTATATACTAAATTTTTTTATGTAATTTTAATAATATAAAAAACTGTCTAAATTTTTATTTACACTAAATGTGTTGTAGTACAGAGAAAACTTATTATTACAGAATATCTGAGTTACATTAACTATATAGGAAAGTTCAAAAGGTTAGTAAATAGAGAATAAAAAAGAGTATTTACAACATTTCTTCCACTGAATAATGTACATTACATTCTTATGTAACAATCCATATAGATGTTCTGACAAAACAACAAACCACTTCATGTGCATAATCTTTTTTCTTACAATAATCAACATTACGGCTGCACTTACAAAATCATAAACTTTATAACAAGACTGTTAAAACTGGTATGTATCATTAATAAGCAAAATAAACATTTTAGATTACCTCTAAAGGTTGAGCACTGTTACATTGGGGCCCGCCCAAATTGCAACGGAAAACTAGATTTTTAACATGAGTGAAAGTCTAGATATAGAAATTATTTATTTTTATTATCTTTGGAATTATTTTTGACTAGTCACTAGCAAAAACTATGTTTTCTTCTAAAAATCTCATATTTTTTATTAATGTCTATATGAAAATATGCATTTTTCATAATTTAATACAATAAACATTTTGCTGATTAATTATGTCATGTGCACAGAGTTATAAGATCAAGACCAAGCTTTAATTAATAAGTAATACGGAAGAATATTAATTTTAAGGACATTTTTCACAGAAATGGTCATTGTTTTTAACACTTCCTTTAATAAAACTGAGAGCAACAGTCTAAAATTAATATTAAATAGGAAAATTGCTATATTCAGACTACACTTTCTAAAATAAATTGAATTATTTCAATCATATTTTTTTATTTCATCTTTTACATACATACAAATGAGCGACGAAATAATATTATAATGATAAAGAAGTATTTTGATATTATAATAAAAAAACAGAATTCTTAAAATATATTAGAAATCTTAGAAACAAGTATAAACTATACACTTACCGATCGGTAGATCACAAAGTAGGGCACATGCTGATATAGCACCAAAAGAAGCCCCGGAAATCTTCCCTAATAATAAATGTGGCGCATATTTTTTGAAACACACAGCAACACCAACATGGTATATACCAAGAAAACCACAACCCGCAAAAGATAAGTTCATTATTTACGCATACAAAATAATACAGTCAAGAACTATGAACGCAACAAAACGAAATACGACGTTGATTAAATAACTTATCAATACTTTAGATTAGATAATAATAATCCAGAAAGTATTATCGTAGCCAATAACATAAAACAAATTTCTCTAATTAATAATATGAAACACAACAGCCATGTGTAAGGTTCCAATATAAATAAACAGTTGTTAATCAGAATTATGACGGAAAACAATAATGAGTGAGTAAAAGCGTCAAGCATTGTCACTTGTCAATGACAGTGACAGTTGACACTGACAATTACTTATAATTCTTTTCACAAAAGTCGAACTTTGGTTGTTGGTGTCTTATTAATTTTGTTTATTCTGATTTTTCAGTGTATAATAATGAAACAGCTTATGTATATTACTAATTGCTGTTTGTGTGTTCAATCTTTTTGAAAAGGTAGTCATTCTAAATACAAAGGCTAATAAAGTAAAGTAAGGAGCCTTTGGTTAGTCCATTTTCAACTTTCTTACTCGACGTTATCGAGTGGTTGAAGTACGCCTGCTTGATTGTTATATTTTTGTTGTTTAGACGGAACACGGGTAGACGGATCCACAGACTTCTTTCAACGTAGCTATAATCTTGTATCTTGTATCTTATATTAACTGATGTTTTTGCTTTCAGTCCCGAGACTATTAAAGCTTCATCTCACGCAGAACCGGTAGACTAGCCAGAACCCACGGGTTTGGGCCCTCTACCGTTGGTAGAGCCACGCATGTGCTCATGCGTGCGTTTAACTATGGTGTGTCATCTAAGGGCCATCAAGGTCGCGGTTCGGACCGAAACCCCGATGGCCGCCGACTATGCAATTAGCTAATCGGTGGCTGGGAGCGGTGAGAACCGCCCCGGAACGCGGGTGCACCTTGTGTACGCGTTGTATTGGTTTCGCCGTGCTCGGAAGCGAGGGCGAACTAGTGTGTTTGTTGTTGCACTAACTGTGGGTGTAGTGTTATCCGGTGGGACCCCCGGCGGTGGGTCCGACGTATCTAAGTCCCCTTCCTCGACCGGGTCGATGAGGACGTTTCGCGGGCGACGCTTATTGACTTTAGCGTTTGTATCGGGTTGGTAATTTGCTGCGCTTACCACCAGAGGGTTAGGATGATGTTCGGCTCTATCGAAGAACCATTTGGTCAGGTCTTTAAAATATTCGCGAATCGTCGAGAGTCTGCAATCGTTGTGCAGGTCGCGTTGCGTTGATACCACTGCGCACTGGTTGCGCGGCGGATGAACTTATTTGTACTATTTGCAACTTGTACAAGCGATTAGGGTGCGTGTGGGCGAAGGTCATGCATGCATAGGACATAATAGGTCGTACGCAAGTCTTATATAATAATAATTTGTGCCTTTTTACTTTTAGCGTTAGTTAAACTGTGTAGCCGGCCGGAGACGAACGCGGCTCTATTGCGAACGTTATTAATGTGCGTAGTAAATGACATACGTGAGTCGAAAGTGACTCTTAAGTATTTGACCTTTTTCTCCCAGGGGAGCGGTTGGCCATAAAGGGATATTTGCCCCAACTGTCTGCATTGGCGAGGGCCATTATAAAGATGTGATGGGTAAGTACTTCTTGTAAAGTGAATCACCACACTCTTTTCGAGATTTATTTCTATTCTCCATTTGCGGAACCAATCGCCGAGGCGTTCGACGGCGCTTTGGAGTCGAGTGGTTAGTTGACTAAGGTGATCTGAATAAAAGAGCGCCGTGTCATCCGCGAAAAGCGCGAGATTGACGTGGGTGTCTTTAGGTATATCGCTCGTGTAGAGCTTAAAGAGAAAAGGTGAGAGGCAGGAGCCTTGTGGTACGCCCTCTGTGAGGTGGAGGCTTGTGGAGATATCAAGTTGAAAGCACCCTTCAACTCGATATCGAAAAGAGTGGTTCGACAGGAAGGCCCAGATGGTGTGTACGAGCCTATCTGACACTTTGAGTGTGTACAGCTTGTAAAGCAAGCCGTTGTGCCAGACCTTGTCAAATGCTTTTGCGACATCGAAGAAACTGAGGAGGCTGATGGGACGATAACTAGAGAGCTGGTTGGCTGGTTTATTCGGCTTGTGAATGCCGATAACCGTGGCTTCTTTCCAGTCGTCTGGAAAGGAGCAACTGGAGAGTAAAGTATTGAAAATGGTCGCCAGTAAACAGATAAGCGGCCCAAGGAGAGCTTCGAGAATTTTGTTCCTAAGATTATCTGGGCCTGGGGCGGATTTCGGTTTTAAATTTTTTAATAATGTCTTGCTGCCGGTGGAAGCGCAGCCCTAATCTCGATTACGCGATCTACCTCCGTTAGGTGGGCTGTATCGGTGTGTTCGCGCGATGGCGTACATTGCTGCTCTAGCAACTAATTCGCCTGCGCTTTAGGTGCGCTAGGGTGGGGACCTAGCTGTCGCCTATCGCAACAAGCACACAGTTATTAAATAAAACAATGCCGCCTCTGAGGCGAGAAGTGTGTATAGAATTCTACTTACAGAACAGGAACCTGCCTACGAGCACAACACTACACTAACACTAAACTACTGCACTGCTTGCACAAAGATTTTAAATTGCAACCGAAGTTGCGAGTAGCGTCTAATTCGGGTGGCATGAGCCCTCCGTCTTAGAGAGAGGTCCGTTCCGCACAAGAGCACGAAGCGGAACACGACAATACGTAGCTAAAAATTAAGTAATCGTAGGTATAGGTACATTACTTTTTAGTCTGCGCTGTGATCAAGTTTTTTATTTTTTGTCTCGGGCTCAGAGCAGAACATAGATAGCTCATTTCATTTTATACTCTATTATATGCTCTTTTGCACATTCATTTCGTATATTACAATAGAAAGAAAAGTACTCTGTGGCTCATTTATTCATTAATCATTTTCATTCGACGTCGACTTTTGTATTGTAATACATATTAAAGATATATTATTCCAAATGGATGATTTCGGAGATAATTTTGTCCAGCCCGAGGTAGATCCTGCAGCAGATTTTCTTGCCCGGGAACAAAATCAATTAGCAGGCCTCGAAGATGAATTGGAAACAAGTGCGCCGCCCCCAATTGCTGCTCTGTCTTCTAATGGCTTAGAAGATTTTGTGGGTAAGAAAAGATTCCTCAACATCAGAATACCCTAAATGTATGAATGGTAATAGAATACCGCAGTCACTCAAAGAAGCTTCTTCCCAAACTTATTATGAATTCTACCTTTTCTGCATCATTATTTGGTAATTATATTAATACAAACATGGTGAATAAAAAATTTGATGAATACCTGTAGTCCGGCAATCCCTTGTGGGATCCCGTGGTGTTCTATGCCATAATACTCTCTGAAATAACTAAAATATACCAAGCAAGCTGTATCTACATCAGTTAACTGTCTTATTTTTTTGACCACGAAAGCTGCTGATTTAAGTCTAATCGCCAGTCTATTAATATGGGTACCCCATTGCAGTTTGGCATCAATAATTATGCCAAGGAATACAGTTGAGTCAATAGGGTCCAACGCTTTCCCATATAAAAGTACAACCGTTTTAACACGTTTAACATTGGAAGTTGTAAATTTAATACATTTAGTTTTTTTATTATTCAACAGTAAATTGTTAGCACTAAACCAATGTACTACAGTGGATAGAGTATTGTTTACATCGTCATAACTTAAAGAAAGCCGTTTTACTTTAAAAATTAAAGAGGTATCATCAGCAAACAATACTATCTCATAATTAGTATTAACTAGATAAGGTAGATCATTTATGTAAATGAGGAAGAGAAAAGGCCCAAGAATAGATCCCTGCGGGACCCCATATTGACCAGGGCCCCAGGAGATCTCTTGCCATGCACGTCAACTCTGAATACGATGGCTCAAGTACGACTTCAGAAGATTGAGTGCGGCATCTCTTATACCATAGTGGCGTAGTTTCTTGACCAAGGTCTCATGCTGTACACAATCGAAAGCTTTGGTTAAGTCACAGAATATACCTAAGGCATCCTGCGACTCTTCCCAGGCTTCAAAAATATTCATAACGAGCTGAACACCCGCATCAGTTGTTGAGCGACCCCTAGTGAACCCATATTGCTTGTTATGTAATAAATTATGAGAGCTAAAATGCTGTAACATTTGATTCAACATGATTTTTTCAAAAATTTCACTAAGCGATGGCAGTACAGAGATAGGTTTAAAATTATTGGGGTCAGAAGTACTAGGTACCAGATTTAAACTTATTGTAAGACTTATTGTAAATTTCTGCCAATTAAACCAAACAGCCTGTTTTCATGCCTGACATCTGAATATTGTTTGAAAATCTCATCAAAATCTTTTTTGCCATTTTAGTATATGAAGAACATACATCCAGACATAATTTTTTACATAATATGTAGAGAGAAGCATGCATTATTAAGCTTCATACCATATACTATGTCTTTATAGAAGTCCCAAGTGCAGCAGTTTTTGAAGCAAATGGCCTTATTGATGCGGAGCCTGCTCCTGTCCCAGTTTTCCGACAAGAGCGAGAGGAGCCAGAAAAGATTAGGATATGGCGAGAGGAACAAAAGAAAAGGTTAACAGAGAAAGGTAATTCAAAAATTTGCTGATAATTTTTTTTAATACATTTGTTAATTGTCTTTAATATTGTTCGTACAGTATAGTTCTAATATATTTTTGTTTATGCATCTAAAACATAGCATGGTATTGTGCTAGATTAAGGATGTTTGCTTGACTGAAATCCTATATTTATATTATATCCTATTTCAATCTTAGTTAAATTACTAAGTTGTGTTGATTACATGCCAGAATTACAACTGTGCCAGTTATGTAAGGTACCTTTACTTACCACTACTTTTAGTGGCAGCAACAGGCAGAAAGATATTCAGCAATCCATTTTACTAATTAAGGAGTAGTTACATAAAAATATCAATTTCAATAATTTCTCCATTATTTTTTTAGACGAGGAAGAGGAAAGAAAAAAGGAGGAAATGTTGAAGATTGCCAAAAAGGAATTAGAAGACTGGTATAAGACCCATGAAGAACAAATTGCTAAAACCAAAGCTGCTAACAGGTAAATTTTAAATTAAATAATTCCAAACAAAGTTTATTATAAATATATTAACATTGCATGGTATATGTAGTTACTTCAAAGCTGTAAAATATCTGTAGAATTAAAGTTTTTTTTTAATTTATTTATTATTATTGGATATTTAAAGCTGTAATTAGTATATTATTGTAAAATCTATTACTAAAGAGTTTTTACTTAATGATTGATTGTACATTTTTGGGCTGGAACTAATGCATCCAAATAAAAATGAACTTGTACATTATTGTAAATTACATTTTAATCAAAACCATTACTTATTTATACTTTTAAACTTTATTTTTGAAAATAAAAAACACTTCTTTGGAATAGTGATGAATGAGAATATTAGATTTGCTTGTCATATTCATAGTAAGTCTGAATTTATTCCTTTTCCTATTATATTATACAATACACAACAAGTTTATGTTGAATTCACAAACATCTCCTTTATAGTGTCTATAGAACACAAATTGTATATTTCATAGTTGGAAAACACTGATTTTAATTTAATTAGTTCAAAAATCTTGCTGATCCTTAATTTTAAAATGTTGCCAGACTGGAACTTTCATTTACTTAACTTACTATATTCTGCAATCTACTACATTTTAAAATGTTTTTGCGACCAAATTGAATATGCTATATTATATTTATACTACTACATTGTAATTTTTATATAATAAAAATTATAAAATTAATATGGTATGGGAATTGAATAAAAACATGATGTATATACTAGTTAAAAGATGTACTGTCAAAATTAAAATGCAATATAAAACCTTTATCTGTTATATCTTTTTCATGATATTATTGATTTCATATCATTTTCATGATATTGTTCAATCAAATTTATTTATATATTTTTTATACTAATTAAATATTGTATTAATATGCTGAGTGTTCTAATTATGCTCTATTTTTCTTTCAATGCTGTCAGGGAGTCTGCTAAGTGAGTATTTTATGAAGTAGTTTGGGTACATACTAACAAACATGGTGGTTGTATGGTGGTCAGGTAATCATTTGGTTACATTTTGATCTTGATTTTGTGTTTAATTCTGATTACTAATTACAAATTACATACATGTTCATATAATAAATGATTATTCACTATTGTCCACAAAGCAAGAAGAGAAATGGTGTAAGTAAATAAAGCAATAGGCCAAATAGAAGATTTCACACACATTGATTAGTATACAAAAATAATATCTCAATGCTAGTCTAATAATTTATTGAACACTTGCCTTACGCCACTCAGGAAAGTAATGCCAGAAAATCAACAAAGTTTATCTCTGCTGTGTACATATTCATTTATAATTCAGGATTTGGGTAATATTGAAGGTGGTATAAAAGCATTTGTTTAGACATTTATCAGCATTGATATAATTCCGTCTGTAGGAATGCAGAACGTGCATTGGCACGCGGCTCCGAAAGTGGCTCCACTGAGGGCAGCGAATGGGCGCGCGTCGCAGAGCTTTGCGACTTCGGCCCTCGGCGAGGTCGAGACGTCGCCCGTCTACGTTCCATCGTCCTCCAACTCAAACAAGCCGGAGTCAGGCCTAAGTGCCCACCGCGCGCCACTAAAGTGTGGGTATAAATGGTGAAAGGCGACAAATGATGCCCAATACAACATGATTTTTAGTCTTCTACAGTTTTAAAAACTGTGACAATCAATCGCCTGTGTTGTCATGTTCAGATCATACATTTAAACAAGCAATGGATCTTTAATGTAGGAATTACTAGACTTTGATAGAGAAAAAAATTTTGAAAACCTTGATATACTTGTTTCATAGAAAGTGGTTATTATTATGCTTAGGCATTCACTGATATATATAAGACACAAATAGCGCAAAAAAGATAATTTTGTAAATGTGTTTAGTAGTTTTGCCTTCGGCTGCTGCACAAATGAGTAGGCTCAATCAGGGAATGACCATGGCCTCACAGGTCTGCTTAAAGTGGAAATATTTTCACATTTCGTTTGGTGATTAAGGTAGCCATGGTCCACTTTGTTGGCAACACAAATGTCCAAAGGCTGCATGAACCATTTAACATCAGGTGAACAGCCTGCTCACTTGCCCACTTTTATATTATAATGTATATAAATAATTAATACATTATACTGATAACTATCTGTTTATGGGCAAATAGTTTTTTTTATGAAATGGCATAACAGTACAGAGTATGCCATTTCATTTAAATAATATATTTACCAATCTTGACATACATACAATAACATAATTTAAATATTTATACAGAGGAGCAGAAACTATAGATGAAGAGGTAAAAATATATAATGTAAGATGTAGTCAGTATCATGGCATTTTATACTAGGCCTCTGTGCTTTCATATGCTAGACTGCAAAAAATTAAAAATGAGTGCTTGATTAACACTACTATACAACATTAGACCAGTATTCAAGATATAAGGATGATGGACATGTACATAAGCTATTTTGTGATCTATGCCAATGTTCAATAAGAGACCATGCCACCCTTTTAAATATATCTTACATTTTTTTTATCTATAAGTCATAATTCAAGGTAATTGCGACAAGTGTTAATTCCCATGACCTGTTGTGGTATGAATATGCTATGTATCAATGTATGCTACAAATTATATGTACAATATCATCAATTCTAATGGTACATTTCTAATAATGGTCTAAATTTTATAATTATTGTTTGCAGGGCTTAAACTGTTGGAGCAACGTAGAAGGAACATTATTGGAGGCCTGAATAATAAAATAAATCTTGCAAGTTTAAAATCACATTTACTTATAAAAATACATGTTTAAAATAGCAAAATTATTATGATGTGTTGCTATAACCATTAACATTGTGTCATAGTGTTTTGTGTTATCACAGAATTGTTATTTATTTCAAATTAGGGCAACATAGCTCATTTTGACTTGATTATAGCAAGCAAAAATATATTAAACATTATTAATAACAAATAATCATTCCAAACCAAACTTGTGTTTTATTAAAAACTTTCATAAATATATGATGCCCGGACCATCACCACATACACTACAATCATGTGTAGCTATATTTTATAGTAACCATTTAGCAATGTTTCACTTGTACAATTTTTATTGTACTATCAAGATACATTTGTGAGATATATATAAGAAAATAATTGATTTCATTGTGACAAGTGACAATGATTACATATTGTGCCAAAAGTATCGGGTTATATTGACTTATAAAAAAATTGTAATTCTAAAAATGCTGTCATGGGAGTATGGCCAGCAATAGCTCAGAGTTTTAAATTTAATATAATTTTTATAGAACCTCTCTTTGTTTCCCATTTTTCTAAACAATACATACATAATGGTGGCACAAAATGGAACATCTCCTTTGGTAGATTCCTTTGTTTGGTTCCATTATCATGCCTTTAACAAAATCTGTTAAGAAAATACTTATACTGAAAATACTTACTGCTATAATTTCAAATCCTTTGCAATGTCAATATGCTTTCTTTTATATATCTTCTCAACTAATTGCAATAACAGATACATTAGACTTATAACTAAAAGAAAAGGCCAAACACCACTGTTGAGGTAATTTTTTAATTGTTGACCCAATGGTTTGTTCTTATTAATCAATATTTTATTGTAAACAATTTCTGTTCTCCTTGTTACATCCATCCAGTTGTACATCTTTCTAATCATTCTGTTACATTCATATGGACACAAAACTTTTCCCTTTTTTATGTCATCCATTGCTAATTCTATACCCTCTACAATACTGGTAACATTGGGTTCTGTTAGGTAAATCATATCTGCTGGTAGCACCTCTGGTATACCCCCGACTTTGGTTGACACTACCTTTAAGCCACATGAAGCTGCTTCAACTATTGCCATACAATATGCTTCTGTCAAAGAGGTGTTGAGAAATATATCACCTTTAACTAATGTATCCCTTACTTCGGAGTGTTTTAAACTGCCCAGTAGTGTAACACAGTGTTGGAAGCCCTTTCTTTCTCTCACTTCTTGTAAAAGCCACATTTTAGGCCCATCGCCACCAATTATAAATTTAAGACTTGGATATCGAGGACACATATCAGCTATTACAGCAGCCATCAAGTCTACTCCTTTTCTATAGACTAGTCTTGATACTATAACTATGGTTATTGAATTAGGGTCCCTTTGACTTGGATCTGGGGTAAAATTGTATGCATCAACAGCATTGGGAATAACTGAGACTTTGTGGGTACTAACTTTTGCTCTCAAAACTGTGTTTTCTTTCCCTGTATGTGAAACACAAATGCAATGATCACACTCACAAAGACACATCTGCAGGTACTTGTTTGTTAAAACTGCCGATGTGTCTGCAAAACCAAACAAACTGTGATCCGTAAAAACTGTTTTCAAACCCATTAACTTTCCTATAATTGACACTTCATGCGCTAGAACGCTAAACGCTGAATGCCCGTGTACGATTTCAATGCGCTCTCGTATCAAAATGTATCGAACTAAGGCTATATTACATATCATAGTTGGTAAAACGCATTGGGCGTAAAATACCCTTATCGGTAAGTAATATACTTTAAGACCTCCTGTTAAATACCTGACTCCAACTCTATCGCCATAACAATGCGTTACAACGATAACTTTATGTCCACATTTGATAAGGCATTGTGATAAATTATAAATATGTTCTTCAACTCCACCGTATTTGGGTAGAAAAAATCGGAAGCCATGCAGACTACGTGCCGTTTCTTGTGATACGAAGTTTCCTATAGAAATTGAAAAGATTAGAATGTCATAAATTTGAACTACATATAAAAAATGAATAAAAATAATACCATAATTGCATTAATTTCAAAAATATGTAGGTATAAACTTTATTTATTGTTTGTAAACAATTATGCTGACAAGTTGACAGCAACAGTGATTTAATTTTTCTTTTTTTTTTATTGCCTGGTATCGAGGACCTCATGGACAAACTACTATATGATACTATATGAGTCCAGATCAGATTGCCAGCGTAAAGAAAAAGCTCTATAGTATCTTGTATTAACTGATGTTTTTGCTTTCAGTCCCGAGACTATTAAAGCTTCAACTGACGCAGAACCGGTGGGCTAGCCAGAACCCACGGGTTTGGGTGCTCTATAGTATATTAGCTCTGTTGATTGGTAATCTCAGATTATACATACTCTTTTGATATCAACTCTTGACCTATTTGATTTATGTATTATGTTTGAATTACTTTAAATTTGGAATGTTAGTTTTATTTGTTCAGATTGAATTGTGTCATGTTTGATTAATTCCGTAAAAATCATTTGTAGAAGTAACATGTCTAGCTGTCTGACATAACTCTTGTATTTTATATAAATTTCATAATCATTACGTTTGGTCTAAAATAAGTTCTAAATGTTTAAGTTGAAATAAACAGTTTTCTTATCACTCCTTAAGTGTCTTATTGGTTTGAGAGCGATCCCATTAGCCACATCCACCATTCAAGAAGCTCTGTAGTAGTATAGGTCATCACATGAGTGCTCTTTAATTCATACTCAATCAGTGTGCATTAAAGAACGAATAATTATAGTTCAAGGGGTGGTGTGCTCTATGCCGGTGAGCAAGCAACAATGGATGAATTCTCATTTCAATAACCTTATAGACAATCAACTGTTGACTTTTCATCATAATGATCACACAAATGACGGTTGAAAAAGTTTTTCTTCAAAGGTAATTTTGATCACACATATGATGGTCTAAAAAGTTTTGCTGCTTAATCGGCGACTTTGACAGTCTCGCTGGAAGTGTTTCGAAGGCACAATTTTGGATCATGAGAAAAACATAGATAGCTGGTGAACGACGACGAATGATGATGCTATCGTCTCCGCTGCATCTCTGCGACTCATGTTAACAAATTATAGATAATTTGACTGACAACAGGCACCACAACATGAAACACAAAATAGATGAAAATAATCAATTCATATAATCAGTAATTTTCGAAATTAAGAGTTCCATAATTATTTACACAAGAAGCGAACGATCGTATGCATCAACACGTCGTAAGCCATTGAAACGGACTGATACAAGGATACATAGTTTGGAGGCTCGAATCGAGGACCTATGGGCGGGGACGGGTTCATCGGCAAACGCGATATCCTGGCCTGGTGTTTATTATAAGCTCAGTGGTGCAGTGATCACTGATCAGTATTGATCAATATCCCGTTCGGACTTTGAATACAATAATCTGAAATTACCAACGTCATGTCATGACTTATAATTTTTATGATTTTTAATGTATGTAATATTATTTTTAATTGAAGTGAAATTCTAGACTGTCGCTTAAAATAAGTGTGTTGAAAGGAGTTTAATCATATTTATAATTTTTTAAAGTTTGTTTTACAACTATAAATTTAGGAATCATGTTGACAATTTATTGACGTGGTAAAAGTGCCAAAGCCAAATGAATGACAAAAGTAAATAATGGTTAATAATTTCGCAGGTTATCTCTTGTTATTAGTAATTTATTAAATGTAACTAGTGACCGAATAATTGTTTTAACTTATATTAAAAAAGAGAAGTTATATACAATGAACATCGATAAAAAAATAGACCGAAAGTACAAAAGGTTTGCAGCGAGGTTAAAAGAATCTAAAGGGATTGTTTGCTCTAACACACCTGGATCTGTAAGTTTATACACAACAAATTCCTTTCAATCTTAATAAGTTAAACTTAACCTCGTCTTCCGAACATAAAAATACTAAAATTATAGCATTTTATACTTATTTTTATTGTCTAACTAGCACTTATCCTATGGGTGTTTTTTTCAGAATATAGTTTTATGCAATGTTGGTCAAGCCACGGGGATTGGTGAAAGACGACATTATTAATCTCTTACGTAACTTCCCTATAATAAACTTAAAAAAGTTTGTAGCAGAAAAAGGAGAATCACATTCCTTCTTGGTGTTCGAAAATGAAAACAGCGCTACAATGTTTTTCCATGAATATAATGGAAAGAAGTGTTTTGGTGATAACACTTATTTATATATGTACTATGTTGATAATGGTAATTGTTAATAATTTTACACACAACATGGCCAACATGGTAAAATAATTTTGTTCAAATGATTTTTTAAAAATAAATGTACAACAAGATATAAATTTGACATTTATATAAGTTCAAAATTCCATTTATTACTAGAATTTACTGGCAAACCTAAGAGCCATCATTATTTTAAAATGAAAAAGTTGTCTCATACAATTATGTACTTAATTGCATAAAATATATTTTTAAAATCTTCTAACAAAAACATAACTAATCAAATTATATATATATTTAATCTTATAATATTTCAGTGCCAAACACAGAAATTTTGTGCCCACATGATAATCCTCAAGGTCTCCATCTGATAGAAGATTTCTTAAGTGCAGATGAGGAAAAAGCTTTCATAGAACTATTTGATTGGGAGGACACAGATTCAAATCTAAAAAATCGCCAAGTTAAACATTTTGGCTATGAATTTCGATATGGCAGCAATGATGTAGATCTGGACGCTCCGCTTCCTCAAAAAATACCAAAGGATTGCGATATACTCTGGACTAGATTAAAGCAAATTGGAATTGATATAGGGCCTCCTGATCAGTTGACTGTAAATAAATACATTCCAGGGCAAGGTAATCTTGCATGCTATAAAAACAATGTATATAAAAGACATTAAGATTTTCGTCGGTGTGGCAATCAGCTGTTTAGCTTAGTAGCTAGAGCGTCAGGCCGCGAATGCCGAAGACGTAGGCTCGATTCCCACAGCGGCGACAATCTTTTCGTACTTTTTCTAAATACTTTAATGATGTGAAGATGTGAGTAGAAAGAAATGTAGCATACCACTTTATACATGTCCCACTACTGAACAAAGGCAGAGGCCTTTGCCCAGTATTGGGTAATAGGCAACAGAGGTACAGAGGGCATAGTCCACCATGCGGCCCCACTGCGGCTTGGCGGACTTCACATATCTTTGAAATATTTTTTTTTGTTATTGAGCGAGTCCTAAAAGTTATCATAGATATTTTTGTAAAGTTCAAATTTTAAGGTATTCCATCTCACGTGGACAGGCACAGTCCGTTTGAGCCAACAATATTGTCGCTTTCCCTGGCTTCCTCAGTGGTGATGGATTGGAAACATCACAGCGGAATAAATCTACCAATACTTGTACCAGCCAGGTCGATGCTAGTCATGCAGGGAGAAGCGAGGTATTCAATGCATTACAGTAATAAGTCACAGGTCATTAGTATTATTTTATCATTAGTATTTTTTTTTCAAGTATTATTTCATTTTTCTTACTGTACACACTCCCAGTGATTGGCTTGTAGGTACGGGTATGTTCGCCTTAGGAAATTTTAATTTCACAAATTAAAATTTCCTAAAATGGTAAATCCGCTACCGGGATTCGAACTTGCGCCTTACGGGTAACGCGCCGACACGCTTTAACTACTAAGCTAAGGGGTAGACTTCTTCACCGCGCGAAAAACTGGACGCCTTATCCGCCTTGATTTGTTGCATTTCTAGCAATCCTTTGTTCGCTCGATATTTCCCAAGCCAATTCGTAGCCGTATTGTCACAACAGGTACGATTGGCAGCACGGCATCCAGCCTAGAACCTGGGACCCGGTGATCGAGAGGCGCACCGTGCAGGGCCGCGCCGTGAAGGTCATCACGGGTGACTCCGTAAACCGAGGCGTCAGGATATCCCTGACGTTCCGCTGGACTCGGCGCGGAGAGTGCCCTTGTCTGTACAAGGCCCTGTGCGATACAGCGCCGGAGACTGGGGAGGACCTGGACGACTTGGTCGCCGCTAATCTCGAGGAACTGCACGTTCACCAGGTGGATAACGGTCCAAAGAATACTAGTATTTTTTTCAATCGACTTCAAAAAGGGAGTTTCTCAATTCAGTATTTTTTTTAATGTTCCTTACCACAGAACTGGGTCTGTTGGCGCCCCTGCGCATATGTAATATTGTATGTAACTACCAATTCAGTATTATAACAAATTCTGGACTATTGTGTCTGTACACTATTTTCATTTTTTATATGAAAACGTGGCATACCGTTCACTTAATATTAACTGATAAGCACCGCCCATGACTACAACACCCGTGTGATTAAAATGCGTTGCCACCTTTTATAAACTGGGCCCTGATTACTTCACTCACCAGTCGGAGTACAGAAGTATAACACTTCCACTTGACGCCATCTTCTGTGAGGTCATGGTACCTCGCCGGAAGGACCTGCCCATTCGTGTCCACCACACCACAGTATCAATTGAAAATTCAATATGAAAGACTCGCTGCTGTTGAGTTTTACGGAAGAAAGAAATAACACTAACTTTCCCAAGTCCCATACTGTCATCATAAATATCGTCATCGTCACTCGCCAGGTGTACGAACAGATCTCCAGACACTTCAGCAGCACCCGCCACTCCGCCTGGCCCAAGGTGGTGGAGTTCCTCCGCGAGGTGCCACCCGGCTCCGTGCTCCTGGACCTGGGCGCTGGCAACGGCAAGAACATCCTCAATCGGAGCGACATCCTCCAGGTGATAAATAAATGTATGACGCGTCTCTTAGTCGTGCCCTTGTTGTGTTATACGTGGTCGGTTTTTGTAAATACATAGCGATTTCGTTTTCAAGTTTCAGCCCTTTCCTTCTCCCTCGTAATGCTGTTTGGCGTTTGGCGTTTTTTTAGAATGTGACTTTCCTTGATATGGTCTATCGTACTAGGTACCGTAGTACAGTCTTTTGAGGAATTACTATAAGTAGATCTTTCAGTTTAATTCCTCAAAAGTTAAGTTTTCCCACTTGTTCAGACATGCACTATCGGCGTTACGACGAGTTGTGATAGTAAGGAAACGGTACTAAGCTAAAAAAAAGATCACGGTTGAAACGAATGTGGAAAATATGGACAGCCAGAGGATGGAAGCTAACAATAAAACTCCATCTCAATGGTCATTATGACGATCGACAGCATCTACGGGTGCGATGGTGATGGCGAGAAGAATTTATTTCAGCCAACGACGGATGATGATGGGAACATAAACAAATGGGAGTCGACCTTTTAGATAGCCGGCGAGCGAAGCATCGGCCTATTGGAGGAGTGTAAACGCAACGTTGGCTCAGTGGCGGGGGCCGACTGCGTGCGGCTTGACATGCTGAGGGCCGGGGTTCGGGACGGCTGCGCCGACGTCGTCATCTGCATAGCGGTCGTTCACCACTTCAGCAGCCAGGTCGGTTCCGAAGCCAGACTATGATGAATAAAAGACGAGGCGTACTTGTCCGTGGAGAAAAAAATCTGTGTATATCTGATTAAAAAAAATGATCCGTTATGTCACACTGCGCGATTTCGAAAATTGTTTTATATGGCAACACCTACCTTTTTATTTAGAACAGCATTTTGTTGTCTAATCCCAATTATCGCAATTTTCTTGTTCTTTGAGAATATTATACAGAGCAAAGACTATAGAGGTATTATCTCTTTATTAAAAAATGTTAGTAAAGGAAGTAAACACTGAACGACACACAGAAACTGACAAATTATCCAAGTTCTATTTATTATCCTAAGTTACACTTTACTATAATGGACGATAATCTGTTTCACGTCCTTTTAACCTTGTAAAAACACAACATAAATATGGATATGACGCAATTAAAATATTTTTTTTATAAAGTAAATAAGCATAATGCATTTGGCTAACCATTTACCTAGGCATTGTGGCTGACGCAAGTCAATATGAGTGTTGTTAGGAACCATTGAATCCCGCAAATTTTTGGGTAAAACGTCGATATTTTGACAAGACAATACGAACTGGTGGTTCACCTGATGCTAAGTGATAACCGCCGCCCATGGACATTTGCAACACCCGTAAGGTAACAGCTGCTACCGTGCTACCGTTTAATAAAGTGGGCCCCGGCTACCTCAATCACCAGCGGAAACGCAGAAGTGTATCACTTCCACAGTCTTCTGTGGGGTCGTGGCACTTACCCGGACCTGCCGATTCGTGCAACAGCGAACACTGGTGGCCCTACCACATTTAAATGTTTAAAACGGAGAATTATTACTTTTTCAAACAGTCGCGGAGGGCCCAAGCGGTCGCAACAATCGCGCGATCGCTTCGCCCCGGCGGTCGCGCCCTCATTACCGTGTGGGCGAAAGACCAGATGAAATCCAATTACTTGTGCAAGAAGAAAGAGAAGGAGGTCCACACGAACAGCGTAGTCGAAGTAGCCGGCCTCAACCTACCGGTCCACGAGAACAGAACCCAGTTTCAACATAAGGACCTGCTTGTACCGTGGAAACTTAGAGGCGTCAAGGAAAATAAACTGGACGATAAGCCGAATAGCACGCTTCTAAGGTTCTACCACGTCTTCGAGGAGGGCGAGCTCGATGAACTATGCATTTTATCCGACCTGATTGTCGAGAAAAGCTTTTATGAGGAAGGTAACTGGTGTGTTGTCTGTAAAAAGATATAAATAAAAAAAAATTGTCCACAATTTTCTTGTATTATTTCGTAACAGCGATTTACAGAACAATTTAAGAATTACACAATTCAACAATTATATATTAGATCATTACGTATTAAAAAAAACGAACACACTAATGCATTTGAACAATTAACGTAATAATTATGTTATGGTTTCATCAAAGCCAATTGTAATAAAGGAACAATAGATATTGTCGAGAGGTCCGCCAAAACAGCGTCAACGTTTTGTATAGTGTTCACTTGAAATATATTCTCCTTTCTGAAACTCAAAATAGCGACGGCGAGTAATGGCAGTATGTACAAGGAATCGTAGCCTAAAATGGCGTCCCATAGAAATAACAGCTGATCCGGCGGCAAATGGCCGCTGAAAGCGCGCATCAGCCATTTGAACACGACCCTTATTCTGAAAACAATTAGGTTGAAATTTAACGCCAGCGCAAAGCTAGATTGTTCAAAAAACATTTTTATATTTACTCACGGGTTGATGTTGATATTTCTAAAGTGTATCCAGAGAAGTGGTTCATTGGCTTCCAAAAGCCTTTCGTATAATAGGCATAGTGATACAATTCCCTGAAAGAATGGAATATAGTTCATCTGGCTTATCTTTTTTAACATTCCTCAGTCTAGTCTAAATATTTTACTATACATTTTGGCAGCACAATTATGCAAAAATGTATTTTCATTGTGGCGACACCATCGAAGCATTATTTTTATTGTGAGACCCAAAATATTAATATAGTACTTGGCTTATTAGTGGAGCACCAATTCAGCTATGTGCTCACAAAATAATTTAGATAAAGCTAAATAATTTTGACTTTGTGAAAATAAGTTATATAAACGCGGATAACAGTATATTCTCAACTATGAAATGTTCTATTAGGTACTATTTTGTGGTGTTTGTGTGAAGGAATACTAAATTGTTATGTTATAACAGAAAATCGCTTAAAATTACCTGTGGATGTGTGGATATGTAATGCAGACGGTGCCAGTAGCGGATATAGAAGGCACGGAAAGTGTAATATAGCTGGACAGGCTCGTCGTAGAGATAGCAGAACGGAGTGGCTGTTAAATGTTACGTATTATGGTCCATCTATAAATGACTTTCGGATCTAGACCTTTTTATGATTAGTATTTGTAAAACGTCTTCAGACAAACAAGGTATATTTATATTTAGTAGGTGATAACGTTAAAAATAGAAGAGGACTATTATTACAGCGTTGACTCATCAACAATTAAAAAATTTCGCATTTACACATTAGCCTAAAATAATGAACTAAATGGTAGAATATTTACAAAACCACGTTTTGTCGTATTTAGGTCATATTTCCTTATGCATTAAAAACCGATCAAAAGTTCCTGATCTTATTTTCAATAAAATATTAATCAATCCCGCACTCCGTGGCGCAGTTGCAAAGGTAGGCTTTGGCGCCAAGGTTTCCGGTTCGATTCCCACACGGGACAAATATTTGTGTGACCCCCTGATAGTCGTTTCGGATCTGGCTGTTTGTCCATACAATTTTATGTATATAAAACCCTTACAACACAGGATAATGTTATACTACAGTGAGGACAATGTTTTTAAAATCATATAATTTTTCTATACTCACCATACATTGAGAACCCGTGGAAGGGTATGATACCGCTCGGCGGGAAGACGGTGACGCTTTCGGGCGAGGTCTGTTTGCCCTTGATGGTCACCGTCAGTGCGTTGCCTATGCTACCCTTGAGCTGTTGCAACACCTCGCCGTCGCGCGAAAAGCACAGCATAACCTGTGTCGCCGTTCGTATGCAAATAAGATTTTATAATGAAAAAGACAAACACAACACGGCGAGAATCTTATTCCGTTTAATCTTGTACCGGTTTTGATTTTAAGGTTCTAGTAACAAAGAAACATGCTCTGTGTGGCGTTAAAAAGGAGTAGATCTTTTTTGTGATGAGCTTATGTGGTAAAAAATATAAACATCCGAATTGATCCTCCTTTTTGAAGTCGGTTATAAAACCTTGAATCCATTGCCCTTTGCTATTAAGCATCTCCTGTGCAGTAAGTTGGCCAAATTCAAGGATAATTACAAATAATTATGTCACATGGATAGTAAAGAATAAGTAACGTAGCCTATACGATATACGTAGGTATATCGTATAGGCTACGTTACTTATTCTTAAAACATAAATATAAACTTCATATAATATAAAATTTTCATATAACATTCATCAACTTCATAATAATATAAAATTCATAAAACATAACTACATATCTTTTTGATGTGAAAGTCTAAGCTCTAAAATTAGCGGTGTGGATCAGCTGCTTTGTAAAAGGGTTGATGCTGAATAGAGGGATGGGTATTGTTGGTAGAAATCTTTTGTTATTGGCAAACCTGGTAGAGGAGGTCTTCGAAGACGAAGTACTGGTCGTCGTTAGAAGCGGTCAGCTGAACGTCCTTGAATATGAGCTTGTCAATCATCAGATCAACCTCCAGAACGTTTCTTTTCAGTTGGTTGAAGTACGCAGTTTGCTGGTGTAAAAGTATTTTGCTAAAACAATCTTTAACTATGTTTATTTTATTATATTTTTTGCCTATTTTTTGCCATGCCACATTTGGTTTGCCAGCTTATTTATTGGTTGCAAATGTTACACTGGATGGATCACGCAATAGTCTTCATCTTCACTGTTGCACGAATGGGCAGGTCCGTCCGGAGAACTACCACAACCTCACAGAAGACCGGCGTGAAGTGGAATTGTTACACTTCTGCGTTTCGTCTGGTGAGTGAGGTGGCCGGAGCCCACTTTAAAAATAGGTGGCAAATGACGCGTTATTAAATGGGTGTTGCAAATGACCATAGGAGACAGGTATCACTTAACATCAGGGGTGAACCCTTAGCTCCCTCGCCACCTTCTCACATAAAAAAAATATTAAGATTGCACAAAAGAATGTTGAATGTAGGAATTACGTGACGTATATAGAAATAAAAAGAGTGCAGGTTGTGAATTTACTCGACAAAAGCCTTTTAACTGTGATAATCTACCGTCCCTGAGTTTCATTCGCACCGTCGGCGGATATGATGATCCTCCTAAAGAGTTCACCATCGGAAGGTAGGTACAGATGTATGAAAGTGAAACATAGCAAAAAAACGACTTGAAAGGGGAAAAAACTGCGACAGTGTGAAATAATATCGGAGACGTTTTCGACGTTGCACGATAAAGCTGAAATACTGGTTTTCTCGTCTTTTGGTTGGCGCAACCACTAGTGGTACCGCTAGTATGTACATTAACATCATGAGTCGCATTCGGTTTTCATCTCAATAGTAAACTAACAGCCTTTATATGTCCCAGTTATGGGCAAAGGCCTCCTCTATGCAGAGGGTATTAGAGAAATTTTTTTTTTTAATATTATTCCGATAATATGCAGATTACGTCGTTGGTGATAATTAAGCACTTAAAACACAATCAACGAATTCGTTAATGCTAGCACCTGAGTTTGAGCTAGTTGCTCGAGTGTATTGGATCGAGAGCGAGCTATTGAGACACTGAGCTCTCTAGCTCATCTAGACTCCTTTATCTAATTAGCTCACTGAGATACCTGCGCGGTGACCTCGACCCCCAGCACCTGTGCCCAGAGGCCGGCCCTGAGGCAGTGGGGGCTCCCGCGCTTGAGGAACTCCTGCGCCACGGGGGCGTAGCGGAGCGCCGTCACGCGCGCCCCCAGCGCCGTCCTCTCCGTCCCCAGGGGGCCGAGGCCCGACGCCCCATTGCACTCGGGAATCGCCCCCAACAGCGGCTCACCGCTGGCCCACTCCGGGTATTCCTTGCGCTGTCCGACACCGACAAAACACCGGTAGCGCGATAAGCTCCCTAATAATTTTGCCCACGCGAGACGGAAACAATTTGCGTATAAACACCTCAAGTCACGGGAAGTCCACCCGACATGGTTCGAATGACGGCCTCGCAGAAGGCGCCAGTAAAGGTATTAATTCTTTTGACCTTTCCTATATTAACTGAGATCAAAGGCCGGACATGCTCTGGCGACCCTTCTACCGTGCACACCATAGACACTAAAGGCACTAGAAGACACCCACATTATACATGAAATACCTTTTGGTGTACGTTCACGTTAAAACACAATCAACATATAAAATTACCAATTGTTCCAAGTTCTTCACTTGAAGAGGCAGATGCGCGAACTCCCATTTAGGCTCGTCCCTAAATTGCAAAGAAATCCAATGTGATCAACAAATACAATGCTACGGCGCATGCTAGCTTCAACAAAAATATAACTTACTCTCTCGTAAATGGAATATAACCCGATAATGTCAACAATACTTCCAAAAAGTCCTTCGGTGCGTATACTGGCCTGTATTTTGAAAGGTCTGTAAAAACAAGAATAAAATAATTAACTTCCTAACGTCCTTGCTTCCTTAAATTCAGTAATGATTCTCGGCAAAGGCCTTTTTTATAAATGAATATTTCAGGACGCGTTATACAACCTTACACATTATCACACGACGTTCTCTAATCTCAGACTAAGTAACGCCTGTTCTATGGATACGAGGCAACTGACATACTTAACCATCCATATCTACTTTTCTTTTGTATATGAATACATAGTATAAATACATTAACGCCCAGACACTGGAAAAATACTATGTTTACAGTCCATTGCACAATAATTTTCAGGTATTGATGATTGAACCCACACCAACTGGCGCAAGAGACAGTTTCACTTTCCATTGCACTTATTGAGTTGTCTTTATTAACTGTGGTAGGGCTACGCAACAAACAGTCTTCGGGCAGGTCCGTCCGGATAAGTACCACAACCTCACAGAAGACTGGCGTGAAGAGGAAGTGTTATAATTCTGCGTTTCGTCTGGTGACTAAGGTAGCCGGGGCCCACTTTATTAGATGGTGGTCTGCAACCATTACGGGTGTTGCAAATGTCTCCCGTTCTCACATCAAAAAAAGTATGCAAGATTTACGAAGTCCAGTAAGTTGTATAAAGTAACATTTGATTGTAATTACGATCAAATTTTACTATTACAACAAAACTACTTGAAAATAAGATTTATAAGTCCGTACACACCTAAATTATATGTACTTAGCTCATGCCATTTGTCAGCGATGTCTTCCTGCTCACTTTGTGGCCTAAGTTTTGCTAGAGAAGTTTCTAGATCTGAACACATTGAATTAAGTGATTTATGTATTCTTTTCTCCCATTGTGCGCTGGCTTTTGATAACGACGTTAGTGGATCTAACTTCTAAAATATTGCAAAAACGAGATAATTTGATAAGTAAATTATTTATGGAATAGTTTTTAAGCCATAATTTTATACATACAGTTTGCTTGCTCTGCGTAGTTCGTACCCAATGATAAACAGTATTTCTTAGTTTTGTATCCAAACCTTTTTCTTTCATGGCTTGCTGTAACGTTTGTTTGAAATCTTCCTTGTTGACGGTTGGGGACGAAACTAATTTCTGTTGTTAATGTAAAAGTTATGATGTTATTCAGATAGGTGATTAAATTTAGTGTTACAGAATTACCTGTATGTCGCTGTAAAAGGATTTGTAAAGGGAAAGATTTTTTATTTCCTCTGCTAATTTAAGCGCTGTATTATGAATACCATCCTCTTTAATAGTCTCCATTATGAACTAATTTGCTTTTTAATTTTATTATAATGGGCCAAATCGGTCATTTGAGCACAGTCTGATTAGGCTTTTGACGGAGGGCTAACGTTGCTTGGTAACTCATAAATATTGAGTGCAAAGAGAATGTAATCACTACGTTTGATTGAGTGTTTAGTTCGTAATTATCAATTGTGATTAAGAGACTTAAAAGAGATAAAAAATATATATATCCAATTTATACTTAATCTTATTACTAATAATTTTACATGAAACTCTTTAGTATTAACAATATTTTTGTGTTGAGGTTATAATATTATAAATAAAATATAGATTTTGTATTTGGCTTTCTAAGCTCTATGGCTTTGTAAGCATATTTTTATTCATGTATTCTAAGTTTCTATTTATGTATGTCGTAGAGAACCATAAAACTGACATAGAGGGGAAAAAGTTTTCAATATTCCCTGCCCTCCATTGGTGCTACGGAGAGACCAGAGAGAATGTAATCACTACGTTACGTGGGAGAGACCTAAAAATCAATCCGTTATCAAATGCATTTATCATAATGTTTCGCCGATTACCTACTGAACACACTATACAGGCAGCATCGAAAACTTATGTCTTGTTTTAGCTTACTGCTGGTTTCAGTTTCTATTTCTTTGTCGGGTTAATTTACTTCCTGTGCAGTTTAAATATCATTCATTTATCCAACACATAAAGTATCATAAACAATTTTAAAAATCTTGCTGAAATAGTAATTAAAATAAATTAAAATCTCACATAGTAATTTTTTTTAACCCCGCTAATCACTTGAAATCCCTTCAAGTAATTCAAATTTGATTCTTTCTCCCGCCGACGCGCCATCCAATAACATGTCGCCGCAAGGTCGTACACATCGCTTTCACCTACAAACTTACACCAGGTATAGCGCGTTGGCCGATGAACGTGAGATCCCGAGATTCACAAAATACACACGATATCCTAGAGTACCAGCTTTTCGCATTTTTTTTTGGTAACAAGTGAGCTGATATTAAGTGATAATCGCCAACCATGGGCAGTGGGCCCCGGTTACCTTACTCACCACACGAAACACAGAAGGTATAACTTTTCCTCGTCACCCCGTTCTGTGAGGTGGTCGTACTTCCCCATGCTATTCTCTTGTGCCCGCGAGTCGTCCGGACGTCTTCGGTCTTCAATCAAAGCTATAAAGGCAATCAATACTATTAAAAAAGTATTTGTTTTAATAAAATTTCAATACATTTTATTTCCCTATGTTAACATCACATATTATATCGTACACGTTTTTTTGTCAGTATCATTTATATTTCGGGTTTTAGTTTCTCGGAAATAAGTCAGTATTGTAGTTTTGGCAATGGCAACCCTACCCTGTCAACATCAGTCGCGATAGAAATAAATACGTACAAAAAAGTTTTGACACTCTCTCTCTGCCTGTTTTGAAAACAAAGAAAATGGGGAAAATATTTCTGCACCACATTGGTGGAACCCGTTTATTTTCATGTGCTACTTGTGATATTAATCTCACAAACCGTGCAGAGCTAATTAGTACAAGATTTACTGGGGCGACAGGTTTGTAAAAGCTTTTATACCTAAGCAAACATTTCATTTTCTTCCTCACAAGGCTATGTTGGTTACGCAAATTTTAATGCGTAATTAAATTTTAGTGCATCGCCTGAAAAATTAAGTTAATTTATTAGAGGTACCAAAAGTCCCTTATTTTCTATGGGTAAAATTTTAAAATAACAGGAATTAAATAATTAACTTAAATTTCTCTATTTATTCTTACAATCATCGTTCTATGAAAAGTATTACTAGATCGTTAACAATATTTAATAGGTTGTAATTTTTCCCAAGGATTTAGTACATTGTTCGTGACAAATGTTTGATGTAATTAAGTTTATTTACATTGTTCTGAAATGAAGCCTAAAACTAAACTAAAACTTTTTCAGGTCGTGCATTTTTGTTCCACAAGGTAGTCAATCTTGTATACTCCGAAGTGCAAGACCGAGTGATGCTGACTGGTCGTCACATGGTCCGTGATGTGTCCTGCAAAAACTGCTCTAATAAGCTTGGTTGGGTTTATGAGTTTGCCACTGAAGAGAATCAAAGGTATAATTATTGAAAACTGTCATATTTTTATTATATGGAATGTAGGGTTATACACATATATTCATAGATCTCTAATGGAGTGTGAAAATACTATTAGTTGTTAATTTAAGACACAATTTTTCAATGCTCATTAAGGAAAGAGAATAATAATAATAAGTTCTATGTTTTTTTATATTTATATTTTTTTAATTTGTTTTATTGACTTACAAGGATTTATTCAAATCATAAAATTATAAAATAGATTGAATGTTATAATAACAATTCAATTTCAGGATTTCACACATAAAACAATTATAAACTTAACAATATAATTATGGTTTATGAACTATTATAACATTTATTGTACTTTAAGTATTACTGAAATTTACAATATTGTATAGATAATGTTATAATGTTATTGTATAGATAGTTTTGGCTATGAAAGCGAATACATATTATTAATTAGTTTCTATATTTTCAGATACAAAGAAGGAAGAGTGATCCTGGAGAGGGCGCTGGTAACAGAAAGTGATGGCATAGATGAAATACAAGTGAACAATGATGATTAGATCATCTGATCAAATATCTCATAAATATGCACATTATATATTTGAGTAATCTGTAGATTGTACATTTTGATATAGAAAATGCAGAATTAAATATACTGCAATGCCAATAAGAAATGCTTATTACATCAAACACTCTAAACTTAATTTAAATTAAACACTATGAAAAGTATTTATTTACATATTATTGCTGCAATTGATACTTTGATTTTTGTTTTAATAAATATTTTTGTATTCTGTTGTAAAATTACAATTTAATTTAAAATTACCAGGTAATAAATAATAGGTATTTGATTCAATTAATTGTATGTAATACATTTCTAAAAAAAATATTTCTAGATTTTTTGCCTCTATAAGTATATAGTTACTTTTGTCAATGATTTAGAACCTGATTTAGATTATGATGAAGAAACTATTAGAAAAATATTTAAATTTTTAGCAATTAAGTTATAAAAATGTCACAAAACAGCAGACACATAAAATTAAGTAATTAAAAACACCTAATTTTCAGATGTGAAAATTGTACTATCAAAATACTTTTATTTAAAAGAGAAATTCACAAAAATATGTGTATATCTATCTATATAGTGAATGCATTAAATATTAAAAAATAGGATGTTTTTGTTGTTTCTTAGATAATATATTATTGATTTAATATTCATTGAATTGAATAAGGGAATTGAGAGCCTCACAAATTACTTGTGGAATCATCAGGATCTGTATAAATAAATTTCTATGAATCCATTGTGATCTGATGACCATTATTTTATATAACATTTAACCTTCACTGGAAAATAAAATGAAATAAACATATGCAATATCACATTTTATTCATTATTATATTATATAACACAACATATATCTTTAGCAGATAACATATTTTTTTCTCTCTATTTATCTCCATGCTAATACATAAGCTCAACTTTACAAATTGGAATATAGTATAAATAAAATGCCAACAACGTAAAATAGTGCAGGGCGAATCGAGCAGTGGAATTTTGAATTTGATCAGTTTAATCACAAAATTTAGCACCTAAGGTAAAATCGAAATTTTAAAAAATAACTAGTAATATTAACACAAATAATTAAATGTAGCTTGATTATTTAAGATTAAATAAATTTCTCAAAACAGTTTTTTTATTCTACAGATTTCATATGTATCTTCTTATTAAGTTTACAGTATTAGATTTCAATATTTTAATATTTCATCAGTAATTTAATATATTTGTTATACTTAATAAATAATATGTATTATTGATAAAAGCGGGACTTACCAAGAATTTGGTTTGCCTTTGTCAAAAAAAAAGGAAACAAAACTTATTACTACACCTATTATGATAAAATGTTTGCATTACACATGAATAAAATTGCATTTTAAGCATTATCAAAAGCATTTTGCATAATGTCATATAACCAATATTTTGATGATTTTCAAGAATTCCACTACTTGATGCAATCCCTTTACATCATAAATCTATGCTTAGAAACAGAAAATAAATTTCATAAAAAATATCGCACCATCATCCACGGCGAGCCATGGGCCAATTTATTCACATAAAGCACCGCATTTTAACATGTTGAAAATTAAAAAAATAAAATACAAATCAAAAATTCAATGTCGTATCAAAAACAAAAGACTATAAAGATGGATTTTGTTATTTTACAGTTTTGGCGGTTATAAAATTTAGAGAAATCGTTATATATTTTCATTACTTATTTATTGTATACTTAATGAGCATCAATAATAAAAGCGTGTTTATATTCTTTTTGATCTTACGTGTATTTAACGATTTTTTTTTTGTTGTAACGAACACCCAACTGTTAAAAAATGTATGAAAACTACTGCAGAAATATTCAGACAGATGGGATTATGATTAAGTTTCTTGTTTTAATTTATCTCAATTACACGTCAATCATTTGGCAAAATAAAAAAATTATTCTGTCTAATTCAAAATCCAATTCGAGATCATATTGAAGTCACTCTCCCGACTTCATATAGTACATATTAAAGCAATATTTTGAAACATTATCAGGTCTCCATTTTGTAATAAAATTATTTGTTTTTTTAAATAACATACAGTTATAGTTAAACTTTAAAATAGTATCTTTCTTTTAACATAGTATAATCTACTAGTGATGTGTAGTAAAGATATTTTCGATATTTTTTTGAGAAAGTGTTTTTGTAGTAATAATGATTAAGCAACGTGTACACAAGCTGTGGCATAGTTTTGTCGCGGCTCCATTATTTATAATTTCTTTTGTGAAAAAGTACGCCGTAATTATAAGTGGTGAAGACAAGTAATCAAATTAAAAAAAACTTTCGAAATTCTATCAAATGCCCCAGATATGGACTTGGTAAAACAAGTTAAAACGCACATATTTCCCGGTTACGTTCGTCAAAAGAAAAATCAATCCCCCAATGACATTACCTCGTTTTGCATACAGAATAAAAAGGGGAGCATTAATTGCCGTTTGGCACGGTACGAACGTAATTGGATTGTTAAAAATTTTCATATACATATATTGTGACTGCAGTTCCGCGGTAAATTCTAAATGAACTGACTAATTTAAAACTTTTTAAAAGTATAGTACTTTCATACCATACACACATGGATTTTGCAGTAAAATGACTAACAACAAATTATATATCCGAAAGAAGATTTGAAATTTACATTTAAAGAGATAGACTTTCCGTGTTAGGTGATATTAGAACCTACGAATCCCTACATGGCCGATAGATAAAGCTTTCGATAAGAACCCTTTCGCCTTCCTAGCGCGATTCATAAAAAAGGTACGGGATGTGTACGCATCCGGGGCGAGTCCTGCGTAGACTCGGGGCCCAGGCCGACCCTCTGCTTTTCCGTTTCGATAAACTCAAGCACCGCCATGTAGATGAATTTATATTGCGCCTCATTCTGCACCATACCGGAGCGTTGGTCTCTCACCATCTGGACGGTACGGTGAATGTCGATTTCGCAGTCGAAACCCTCCTTTCTGATTTGGTCGAGGATCATGTCGATGACTATGAAGGTGCCAGTTCTTCCGATGCCGGCGGAGCAGTGAACGCAGACCACCGCCTGTTCTGGTGGGTCCTGCCCTGTCATTATTTGCTGGAGCCTGTAGTTGACGTCCAATAGTATGTTCAGAACGCGCCCAGGCTCCGACGGGACGCCGTGATCGGGCCACGCGGTGAAGTGGAAATGGTATATCGTCCTTTTGACGTTCGGCTCGTCCTTTTTCGACACTAGAAAGCGTCTGAGCGTGTAGTCCTGCGTTGACGATTCCGATTCGTTGAAAATCGTGTACTTCTTGATGACCTCGGTCTTGTTCACGTCGGGCCAGTATCGCTCGCACTTGACCTTCCCCCTCTCGATCTCTTTCGTGGTCATGATTATAATGCGCACGTCCTCCTGCCATATCATGGACCAGAACTGGTAGATCGTCGAGGAGAGGCAACCCTGGGTCGCGATGTACGTCTTGTTGTAAACGTGTTCGGCGTCGCCGTTTTCCGGTGCGACCGCGCATTTCGGGATGGTTGTGTTAACGTAGTTTGGGTTCGGTCGGATAATGAACGACGGCACGATCTTGTGGGTTCCGTTCTCTTGGGCTTTCGTTATCTCCTTAGGCTTCTCTTCCGTTACGACGACGCTTATGTGGTTGGGCGAGGTCTTGTCCTTGTTCTTAGACGAAGCGCCCTCACCCCGGGAGTGAGGGGAGTTCTCGTTGCTTCCGTTCGAGTCTTGGGAGTCGGAACTGGCGTCCGTGCTGTCGCATCGGATGTAGTTAGCGTTGATGTAATCGGCACCGGACGGTGCGTCGCTCGGTATGTCGCGCAGCACGACACGCGTGTGATCGAACGGTATGATGTTTTTGTATCTGTTCTTCCGGATGTTCTCGGGTTTGGAGCCCTCCATCCGGTCGAACAGTTGCAGGTTCTCCATCATCTGCAGCGTTTCGAACTCCTCCCAGAAGCCCTGCTTGTAGGCCATGCTCTCAATGGGACCCTCGTTCTCCTTCTGCAGCTGTTTGACGCGCGTATGGAAGTGTCGCACTTGAATTCGGGTGGCATTGAATGGTTGGATCAGCCGGAGAACTTCGCCCGTCGTTTCCACCATTGGATAGTTTCGGTAGTGCTCTATCAAACTGACGAGGTCATCGAACTGCTCGCCCCCACCAACGTCATATTTGTTGTCCTGCCTCCTTATTATCACGTGGGTCACGCGGTCCCTTGTCCTAACCGATAAAACGAAATCTCCAGGCTGCCTTTGAGACTCTCTGACGAGGAAGGATCCGTTCTTGCCATTTTCTAACATCATCCTCTCGGCTTCTTTTGCTGTAAGTTGTCCGTGGTACCAACGTTCGGTTGTGGGATCTGCACAGTTTAGTGGAGTTTTTAACCTAATAATGTTTCCGTTCTTCTCACGCAGCTGACCCTGATTGTCCATATAATGTTGGACTAGTTCCGATAGTGTGGCAAATTTCTCACCGCCGTAAAGATCTAAAAATTCACCATTGTTCTGGATTTTTATGTGTGTAACTTCATTACCCCTTCGCACAGAGAGTGTAAAGTCTCCCTTGTTGCTCATACTGGGTCTTGCCAGGAAATAGCCATCGCGACCGCACTCCAGCAGTAGCTTCTCTGCATCCACACCACTCAGTGATGGGTGGAACCATCTTCTAGTGATCATCTTACAATTACAAAAAGCACCAACTGTATACTTACAAAACCTAGTTATCTATCAAATTAATATTTTTATTTCTTGCTTCTTAAATCTCCAAGCATTCTCTTGAATCATCTGAAAATAAAATTTTAAATTAATTAAGATAATATCATTGGGTATATACTTATAAAACACATTTATTCGATGTTTGATCTCATTAGGGACCTAATTAACGGAAATCCTAATATAATACTTAATATTCTTTGAAGTCACATCTTATGACCTCAACTAAAGACAATCAATACAACTGACACTATATAAAGCCTAAATTTACAAATGAAACATACATTGATGAATAGCATTCAATCCCCTATTAATTTGTCTTCTATTAATGTGTTAAATATATGTAATTGATTGTTTTTTTTACATTAAATTATAGTTCCTAAGTCCTGTTTCAAATATTTTATCTTTCTCTTTAGCATTTCTTTTATAAAATTTTAGTTTAATGGTACTGATATTGTACAGGGAACATTAACTAGAGTGATTGTAAGGGGCTGGCTATGGATATACAATTGAAGAGTTTGTGGTGTTTTAGATCCATGAAAATGTGGATATTCATATTGCATTTTAAGTAGTTTTTATAACAACTATATAATTCATAGACATAGTCTATATCTATATCCATTTTGCTTAATGGAGCTTGAACAAGATAAAGAATGATCTGTCGTACAGCAATTGCAAATTAAGTCATTATGATTCCATATGATGGTCTCTGATCAATTATAAACTGATTAGTTTGTTAAAAAAGGAATTGAATATTACAGTTAAAAAAAGATTCGCATCTTTACATAGGAAAAATAATAAAATAAGTAAAGAATATTTAACACAAGATATGAATAATATATTACAACTGATCATGATCATGAGCTACGAACATTGCCGTGGCCCATAGGAAATATACTTTTACGACAAATGTACACACGCTACCACTGCCATACACAGACATACTTATGTACAAGGCAGTACACAAAGGTTTAGTTAAAATACACATTTTAATATTTTTAATGAAGATCACAACTTTGGAACAATATTTTCTTACCTCCTGAAGGCACCCGAACAACGAGCAATACGCAATATTCCTTAAATTAGGAGTTATAGTGATCGAACTGTTGTTGCTAAGCTGACTTTAGACTTTTTGTTACACTGTTTTCAAGGGCGTATTCGGTCGATGCACATTAAATAAAATCACTCTATAATATTATAAACCAAAATTCACATTGATAAACATTTCTAAAATGTTATTAAAATGGTAAAACTGAACATATTTTGTATGAAAATCCAAAAAAAATAATTTCGGTTTTGGTTGCTGGAAATGTCACACAACTTTTTATCCGTTTTTTTTTCTCCACTTTGTCAGAATTGTCAAATGTTGACATTACAGATAATAAATAGTCCAAAAATAACCTGCAAACTTTCGAGTCAATATTTGTCATATATAATATTAAAACAAAACATCATTGATTGAAGTCATCTTGTCAAATAACAGCTTAGGCTGCTTATGATATATTTTATATGCAAATTGTCTATTAAACGACGACCCGCGCGAAACAGGAAAGGCTAAAAGCTATATTTAGTTCCTGCAAAAGTTTATTATGTAACCAATGATTAATAATTTAATATATCGTTGTATACTGCTGATATTATTAAACACATGGATTATGCATAAAACGGCCATGTTCCGTGTGTCCCAACTCACACCTGTCCTGTGCCCCTTCTTTCAAATTAAGTTGACTTTTCCCTGCACTGGCTAATTATTACTTTTCTTGTGTTTCAGGCTGTCTTAATCGTATCATTATGGTTATAGAGTATTAAAATTTTCAACAATATTAGCGTTTTGGTTACCTCTATAAAAACTAAACACCAAAAATATGCAAGCTTTCTAGTTAGGTGTATTTGTTTTTTGGAGCTACGGTTTCGTTAAATAAACCAAAAACAAGTAATGCTATAAAACGTATTACGTGCACTTTCAATGTATTGAATTATTACTCATTTGAATGAATTATCTTCCCTATCGACAATAAAAAAAAGTTTTGCAAAAATTACACGATTAAATTATCATAAAATACTTAAGAAACTGACATTGAGTGTATTTGTAATAAAACGATGTTAAACCAACAGTAAATAATTTTTATTATATAACCAAATATTACTTTTCATCATTATTTGACATATTTTTTTGAGATTTACCAAAATAACTTGATATCACCTTTCTGACAGCCAATCGCTTATTTTGCGTAGAACTTTCCCCTTGGTGACTTGAATTTTTGTTCCAATGTTCAGCGAAGCTTTGTCGTCTAAATACTTTCCCCAAGGATTGCCATTTTTGATCAGGGCTCATTTGTTTATCTTGGAAGGTTTCTTTGCTGCCAGAAGGCCGATCACCCTAAAACAAATAATGTTACAAAATATTTTAACAGCTTTATTAATGTTTCGATGAATTATTGATAGAGAATTAAGAATAATTTAAAAAATAATGGGTAAATGTAAATAACTAACTCCGGCGTAATTCAAATCAAATTTTAAACGATAGAGATAAATCACTTATGAATTTATCAACAAGCAGAATTCGGCGGTCGCTTATAGTTTTCGAAAAAATAAATAATGAAATAGTGTGATTTTTACTATAGAAATCCGCCATTTTTTTGTTGAACCTTCGCCTGAACCTTCTAACCTAATCTATCCGAGTCGGATTCGCTCTGTGTCGGTTCTGTGATTCATTAAATTAAAAAAATCGGAATATCGATACGTGTATGTTGTCGCCCGCTTCCTATATTTATCATGTTGGCAGAACTGTGTATTGAGTTTTTGAAGTCAAACAAATAAAATGGTGGATTCTTAGTACAAAAAACAAGTTTTAAATATTTTTTTTCTCGAAAACTATAAGCGACCGCCGAATTCTGCTTGTTGATTAATTCATTAGAGATTTATCTCTATCGTTTAAAATTTATTTGATTTGAATTACGCCGGAGTTAAAGTTATTTACATTTACCATGTAATGATTAATTAAAAAGTACCCGGAGGACCGAGCTTTGCTCGGTTTGTTATTTTTTTTTGGTAAATCGTGTCTTTAGGAAATTACATTTAGATACAAATTACTGAGTAATGAAATATGCATAATATTTTTCGATCTTACCGACGTTTATTACGTTATTGTAAGAAAATATGAACTGATGTTTTTCACAAAAGAAAGAACTTTAAAAAAAAAAGGGAAAAAAAATTACAAAATAACAAATCGACAAAAAATTAAAAATAAAGAAAGCAATGATCTGGAATCAAAAAATAAATTAAAAAAATAAATGTGTAAATGATCGTGACGCGAACCACGGCAGTCTGTTTTGGGGCCGCCCGATTACCGACCGAGCTATTATGACATTTTCTCTTGCGGCGAAATTTACCATCATATTCGAATTATATTTTTCATTCCCTGAAAACAGGGATAAAAGGACATTTTCTAAAAATGAAACCTAGCTAGATCGATTTTTCACCCCCGAATCTACGCATATACTAAAATTCATGAAAATCGCTGGAGCCGTTTCCGAGATTCCGATTATATATATATATATATATACAAGAATTGCTGCTTTAAAGGATAAGATGTGCTCTCACGTCATTGGATTTGGTTGAACGTAGTTGTCCTCGAAAAAAGCTGGATATAGATTTCTTCCAATTTCTTGGATTTCTTAAAGAATTTAATTCTAAGGCACCAAGCCCATCTGCCGGGACTTTATTTTTCTTACAAATCGAATCTTCATCTTTTTTTAAAGCATCGTTTTGATATTGAGCTCCTTCTGGACATATCATTTTGCTATATTGTTATAATAGTTTTGTTATTAACTATGGGATATTTGAAAACGTTTAAAAATGGTTGCAAATGTCTGTCATGTTATTTTCCTTAATTGGTTCAAGTAAAAATGTCACAATTGAATTAAGAATTTTGATAACATTTTTAAACAAATAAGTGGCCAAGTTTATTTTTTACTATTTTTAAAACTATTAATATATATAGGTGTAATAACTATTTGAAAAAGATTGCGATGGTTTAATTAATAAAAAATGCAATATTTTAGTAAGGATTTCTTTTAAATATTTAATAACCTCAACATAATTTAATCTGCGTAAAACACAATCATTGTTTAGTCTATAATTCATTCTTGATTTATAGTGGCGGGCGCGGGAAAACATAATAATTAAGTTTTGTAATACTTTCTGAAAATATTAAAGAGTTCATTAATTATAATATAAGATATTTATTATTCGAAAGGGATATTATAGATATTTTTCATTTATAATGACGGCCACGGTTTTAGCTACTTCCCAAGTCTCTAACATTTTATTTGTTTTTTCGAGTATTCAGTTTTGTTAAATTTATTACTTTTTTATTCTGTTTTTAGTTGCAGGCGGTGGGAGAATGGGCTAAAATATTTCCTAAACAGGTTACAGAGAATTATACAAGTTCCGTTACTTTCATGAAACAATTAACTGTCATAGCAGTTAGTACTATAACTTATCTGAAAAATGTATTTCCTGAGGATAGTTATACAGTTGAATCGTTCGGCGGTATTAAGTTAAGGATCTTAAAAAAGAAATGTCGTGATGAACTTGCACAATTTGTAAGTACTGCGCTGATGCAGGCTTTTGAAGCATTTGATAAGAAATATGTAAGTTTTTACTTGTTATTGTAAATATGTACGTCTATGATATCTCGTTAGGAACTACGCGACCGGGAATTTTTCGTTTTTCATAATGTTTTTCGATAATGTTATTCGGTAAGGTACTCGTATTTGGATAATGTCATATAGCGCCATATCATAAAACTTTGAATTATCTTTAGGCTAACATTCTATAGTAGCATTGCAAGTACCTCAAAATTACATGAGATATGTGAAAAACGCGATCACTTCGTAATGGAAAAATGTTTTTTATTTGGTGCAAAAAAAGTTTTCGTTTAGAAGAAGCTGAGAAGTGAGAATGCTTTGTAAATTCGTTTCAGAATCTAATTGCTCCGAACTTACGCGTATTCGATAGTTTTCCAGTTAATACCGATCGGAGTTGAAATGTTCTAAATACAGTTTAATACTTGTGGTAGGCCTCCGCAACACTTCGCTGTTGCACGAACGGGCAGGTCCCTCCGTGGAAGTATCACGACCTCACAGAAGACTGGCGTGAAGTGGAAATTTTATACTTTTGCGTTTCGTCTGGCAAGTGAGGTAGCCGGCCACTAGCCGGCCTACTATTAAAAGGTGGCAATGCTTCTGCTACCCTACGGGTGTTGAAAACGTCCATGGGCGGCGGTTATCTTTTGACATCAGGTGAACCGCCAGCTCGCATGCCAACTTCTCACATAAGAAGTAATAATTTTGACCTGCCAATAGAGGCACACGCGAAAGGAATTGCCATCTTTTATCTGTTTCTAGTCCTTTCCTGCATACACGGGGCTGCTGAGGCGGCCAGCGCTGGCAGGGTCGCGGAAGTGTGCGAAAGCGTTCCCGTGGCCCTGCCGATATGCGCCTAGGTGGAACATTGTGGGGGTTTTAGTCGGCGCGAGTTCGACATAACCCGCTGTTGGCCCTGCGAGGGAGGGTATGCGTAGGCTTTTCCCCCATGTGAACGAAAGTATCCTTTCCCCGCCCAACAGTTAGAGGGGTATGCGTTTCGCCAACAAACACGCGTTTCAGCTCCACCAACTGGCGTTGTGCTTCTACGAGGACGAGTGCAGAGCCGAGAACCTGGTCGAGTACCACATCTTCGAGTACGCCTACCACGGCGGCGGGGTGACCATGAGCGTGCACTCGAAAGGCCGGTCCGGTCCCGGACAGACAATGAAGTGCACGTTTGAGGACGTCAAGGAGAGGACTGTCCACATGATCAGGGCATGCGTGGTCATAATGCAGTCCTGCCAGCAGGAGCTGCCGCCTTGCTACGACATCAGTCTGCGGTTGTACTATAACGAGGGTAACGGTCACCTTAACCTTACAGTTAAGATGGGTTTAGATGGAATTAGGAAAAGGAAAAAAATACCAGTAGTATTTGAATCAGTTTAAATATGACGATAAAATAAGTTTGTAGTAAATATTACAATTCGTAAATTTAAAGCATTATTCGACACGGAAATGATAAAATTACAACCTATACAGGATGTATTTTGTTATAATTATATTGTCTTGCATTCCTTTTCCTCTACAAAACGTATTTCAGTCTTTGAGGGAAGTCATCAGAGCACATGTATTTAGTAAGGAATCTCATTTTTTTTTGTGCACTTGTTGAATTTTCCATGGTTATCAATTTTTAAACATCACTTTTTCACGAACAAGTTTGCGGTTTGTGCATGCTAATTTCAATAGAGAAGTGGGTTGGGTGCTACGAAGCTCTGTAACCTGTCATCAATAAAATCAAATTTCGGCCTAAACGAACGCAACAAATCCGTAAAGTTTCATTTATAAAGCGTACACGTATATTAAGTAGAAGTGTTACACTTCGGTGTTTCGTTTGGTAGGTGAGGTAGCCAACTGTATTAAAAGGTGGCAACGCATCTGCAACCCTACGGGTGTTGCAAATATCCATGTGCGGTTATCACTTAACATCAGGTGAACCGCCAGCTCGTTTGCCACATTAAAAAAATCAAATTTAGTGCGTACTTACCGGTGATAAAAGTGTAGTGTAGTTTGGCGGGTCTATTAGCAGTGGCGGATTTCCCCCAAGGCGCCACTGTCTACTAGAATTTAGTGCGTACTTACTGGTGATGAAAGTGTAGTGCAGTTTGGCGGGGCGGTTAGAGAGTTCAGTGCGTGTTTGGAACGGCGCCACCAGAAGCGCCCGAGGAGTACCAGGCGCCAGGGTTCCTCCGCGCGGAGGAGCCCGCCGACCACCTGGCGCCGAGCTTGGCCGACGCGGTGCTCCTGGGCTGCGTGGACACGCCCTACCATCGGATGCTCGCGCGCTCCTACATCAGGGACGGCCTCGCCAGCAGCCGCGACGCCATCGTGAGTCACACACAAACACACAACGCACTCACGCGAGTATCATACACACACAACGCACTCACGTCAGTGTCACACACAAACGCACAACGCACTCATGTCGGTGTCACACATAAACACACAACGCACTCACACACTTCGCTCACTACACTGGAGCTTCACGTTCATCACTGACGGCTCGCACTGAGTATCATAAACTGACAGAAGACCGATTTAGAATGGAAATGGCAGAACCGGCAGCATCTTCGTAGATGGATCGTTCGCTGGCGGCTTAAAATAAAAATAAAACACACAGACACAGCCTTTTTTGTAGTTTATTCGATGACTCCGTGGCGCAATGCCAAAAGTATTGGCTTCTGCGTCGGGGGTCGTCAGTTCGGGGAAAACTATTCGTAATACCCACAGATAGTTGTTTCGTATCTGGGTCCTGGTATTTGTCCGTGTCAAATTTATGCATTTAAAACGTCTTTACAACGCAGGATAATGTTATCCTAAAGTAAGGGCAATGTTTTTAAAAAAATTAAAAAAAAGTATCGGTTAGACGTTAACGGACGTTATAAGTTAAAAGTCAACGTCGAACGAACAACTTTACGCAGACGATAACACGGAGATACCAGTTGAAACGGTTTCCGTGTAGGGAGCCATTTCAAAAGAGCAGGTGGCATACGATTAATTGTCTCACTAAATGCCCCGTGGAAAACGGCCTCTGCCCACATGGTCCAACATTCACCTCTCCTTCCCCTTTGCCTATCTCAACTCAGCTCCAGTGTGGGTTGCAACGCAGCGTATCCTGGAAATTTTCTTTTTAGATGTTCTTTAAGAAACTCCATCATTTAACTCGCAAGCCAAAGCACTTTAATGCAAGATTAACTAAACCGCAACGGCCTTAAGATTAGTAGTTTTATATGTAGTATTCGCCAAGTGGTCGAGATTCCACCGTAATAATGGTAGAAAGTTATTCTCAATGTACTTTGATTTTTATTGATTACACTAATACTCGTCACAAACAGTTGTTCGCTGTTGCACGAATGGGCAGGTCCGTTCTGGTAAGTTCCACTTCTGCGTTTCGTCTGGTGGGTGGGGTAGCCGGGGCCCACTTTATTAAGAGGCGGCAACGCATCTGCAACACTACGGGTGTTGCAACTGTCAATGGACGGCGGTTATCACTTAACATTAGGTCAACCGGCAGCTCGTTTTCCACCTTTTAATAGAAAAAAACACGACACTCGTAACTTTGAACACTTCATCAATAAAAAAATCTGTTAAAACCAATCATATAGCTGCCCATCGGCTATTTGTGGTAACAAAATAAAAATATACGACTTTAAACATACGACTGGCAACCATGGCAGAATCACTCCGCTGCCATGCCACAGCATTGCCATATTGACTGTTTGCAGGCATCACAAAATCCGCCGATTATGACGCAGAACGAAACGCCGGAATTGTCGGGTGGGTACTTTTTGGTCAATTTTATTTAATAAAGGTAGTTATGTAGGCGCGCTCTGATAACGCAATAATAATTTAAAGTTAAATTTACAGCCAGTACATGTCCCACTGGGCAAAGGCCTCCTCTATACAGAGGGTATTAGGGCATAGTCCACCACGCGGCCCCACTGCGGATTGGCGGACTTTACATATCTTCGTAATATTTTTTTATTATTTCGAAAATATGCAGGTTTCCTCACGATGTTTTCCTTCACCGCGGAGCACGTGTAAAGTGAGCACTTCAATTAACAATTTCATTGGTGCCGGGGATCGAACTCGGGTTGCTCGAGTAAATTGAATTTAGGGCGAGCGCTCGGACACTGAGCCACCACGGCTCAATGATAATTTACACTTAATTAACTAGCTAGCGTTCAATTAGTTAATGCTACTAAACTTCTACTACATTTTCGTGCGGTTTTCATCAACACCATCATCATCATTTCAGCCTGTTTGAGTCCACTGCTGAACATAGGCCTCCCCCACAGACTGCCACGTAGCAAGAATGCATCGACTTCCCGCACATTTCGCACAGGTCGTCACTCCATCTAGTGAGGGGTCATCCTACATTGCGATGGCTGCTACTCGTGAACCTTTCTTCCCCATCCGTTCTACGAGCTACGGCCGGCCCATCGCCACTTCAGCTTATTTTTTTATGAGCTATGTCGCTTATCTTTGTCCTACTGCGGGTGTCTTCGTTTCGAGCTGTACCACGCAGAGAATTACCGAGAATAGCCCGCTCCATAGCCAGCTGAGTGAATTTAAGCTTCCCCATACGGCCAGCATTGGAGGAATTCGATGCAAGAACCCCTTATCCGTCGCAGGTTCATCCAGGAGGTCCTCTCTCGAGGGGACCAAGGGTGGGATCAGCTGTCCCTGTAATAAGTACTGCGCCGACGACGCAGAGGATCCAACGGAGTTGATCACATGCGTGTTCGTACTTGTTTTTTTTTTAAATATGACTGTGAACGGTTACGAGGGGCGACTGGTAAGTTCGCGAGCTTGTTACCCTAGTTACTACAGTCGCCGGCTCGTAGTCCTATTTCAGAAAAATGAATGAATGAATGAATATACTTTATTGCACACCAAAAATAAAGAAGCAAAAATTAAAACTTAATGTAGAAGTAATGGGTACAATGGGCGGCCTTATTACTAAGAGTAATTTCTTTCAGGCCTACCTTTGGATGGATTGAAAAAGAAATAATTTAGGAATAAAGGTGTGGGTTAACGAAATGAATGAAAAAGAAAAATACTTATCTGCAATCATAATTCATAATAATAAGATAAGAACAATACCGGCGATAAACATATATATAATAAATAAACATTTCAAGTAAATTCAATTCAATATACCACATCTTAGTAACCTAAATGAGTGCAGTTTCGCCTATAAACTGTATTCTCAGTTTGGTGAACTTGAAACAATTGTATTTACTCTGTTAATAAATGAATAAAAATAAAAAAAATAACTTTCATTAAAAAGATTACACTGAGGCAGAGAGTTTGAGTATGGTGGGCGGGGCCCGTAGCGATCGCGGCTAACTGCACGGATTCCATGCCTCCTGCAGCTACTGCAGGAGGCAGCAGCACGCGGCCTGCTTCGGCGTGGCGCCGGAGAGGGCCGTTCTGCTGCAGCGGCATTGCTGCGCGCGGTGCTCCGACGGGGACCCCTCGCGGGTCCCCACCGACCCTCGTCTGGCATCCTTGGCGCCCAAGCAGAGGGAGGTACGGCTCTCCAGACCGCTTACCAGCTTTCAGACGGGACCTATATTAACAACGAGGCAGTTTCTTTAAGAGTCGTTGCATTACCTACGGCAAGTAGGTTACTAGCGTTCCTTTAATCTGCAAATCGTTAAGAATGTTACGAAGCTACGTAACCAACGGCCGTTCGATGAATATAGGAACCGGGCTTAAAGTTTACCTTCGCTCAGAAGAGTTGCAGATTGATAGATTTACAACCAGAAAAGGGACGGGAAACGGTAAGTTTTTTTCAATTTGTTAAAGTATAAAGTTGTTCGTTAAAATTTTACGCGAAAAGTGCTGGGACAGACTTGTTGCTTTAGACATTAAACTGTGTATTTGTATTACTCATATCCCACGATACAAATATCGCATATGTCGTGTTCTATCGAATCCAATCGTTATCATAAATGCAATAGCCGTGAAAATTTTCCTTGGTCGACCTTAATTATAATTACAATTTCGATGACTCCGTGGCTCAGTTGCCAAGGTATCAGCTTGGACGTCGGGGGTCATGGGTTCGATCCCCACACGGGACAACTATTCGTGTGACCCACAGATAGTAGTTTCGCAATTTATGTTTGTAAAACGTCCTTGCCTGTATCCTGTAATAATGTTATCCTAAAGTAAGGGCAATGTTTAAAAAAAAATCCATTTTCCAGTGCGAGCGAGATGCTTTTGTTCGTCGATCGATAGGTCGGGTGAATTTAATCGATCAACCGACACCATTCCCCCGTCGATCCATCGATTGTTTTACTTTTTTTCGCATCGGGAGGAAAATGTTCATCGATTGAATGGTGTGGTAACACCAAACCGTCCGGCTTAGTGCCTGTGCACGTTCCGGCGCACGCTGCGCTGGTGCTGGGCGTGGGGCGAGGCGAGCGCCGCGCTGCTGCGGGCGAGGGGCATCCCCGCCGCGGGCGCCCAGCGCCTGCTGCGGCTGCTGCGCAACCACCGACTGCTGCCGGACCTGCCGGACCCGGCGAGGTGCGTCCTCCTTCAGGATACCATCGTCCTGTGTTGTGAGGACGTTTCACAAGCGTACATTTCGCGCGGACAGACACCCGGATGCGGACAACTGTCCGTGGGTCGCACGAATAGTTGTCCCGTGTGGGGATCGAACCCACGACCCCCGAAGCTCTGAAGCCAACACAACACATTTGCCACGGAGTCACCTTATGTGCCTTTTTTTTGGTATCGGGGGCGAAATCTTCGGAAGATACCCAGTCGCCTAACGTGACAGGGTAATGTGGGGTTCTTACCCACTAAAACCCCCTCGGTGCCCGCCTTCTGTACATTTGGAGGGACTCCGGGATCTCCCATGGAACGCACCGGTGTCCGGTACTACGTCTGCGCACACCTCGGAGAAGGATAAACCTTCTCCGATTCCCTCACTCTCTTGCAGCAGCACGAGACCACTTCGTGCTGCTGCCAATCCGTGCCCCTGTTAGTCGCCTACAACAGACAGGGGATACCTTAGTCCTACTCTATGAGCCCGGGTCTACAGGGCTCTGAAGGTGCATATATGCCTGGTTGTCCTGTATGCTTGTACAAGTCGTTATGAAAGTCACGAAGCTGTAACTAAAGGCCGTTCGTACAATATAGGAACCGGGCAATGCACAACTATATATGTATAGCACGTGCCGCGTAACTCGATGACGTCACCCACAACGACCTTTTCGTACGCGGATCCAGTGACGGTCGTGGGGTATAGACGCGCCCTCCCCAAAACCGAATCTATTTTTTTAAGAATCTTTATACTAGGTACTTTAAATCTTGTAGAAAAATGGATGAAAATGTCTTCGCCGCTGCGGGAATCGAACTCACGTCTTCCCGGTTCTCGCCCGACTGAAATCTCTACGTATTTTATCGCGTTTTAAACAATGCTTGGCGTATCTATTGTTCCTTTACGCGCAAAAAATAGGACTATAAACACTTCATATAAATTTTAATTGTAGATACGTCTCTTTTAAGAAAACCACTTAACAGCTTCAAGAAAGAGAGAAAAGCGGAAATTGGATAGCTTGGATGGAATGTCTTGAATCTGTAAATTGAAAATATAAATAAATATTTCAAGGACACATGGTTACACAACGTTCTCTAATCCTATACTATGCGACGCTTGTGCTATGGGTACTAGATAACTGATAAACATACTTAAACATACTTTTCTTTTGTTCTTTTGTAACACCCCGATACCAAAAAAAAAAATAGTTTTCCAGTAGTGGGGATCGAACCCACACCCTCTGGCGCAAGTACCAGGTTCACCACCCACTGCGCCGATCGGGTCCAATTACTCTGTTCACACAAGCGACTCCCCTCAGGCCCGACTCGCCGCAGAAGATCAACAGGGAGCAGCTGAGGGCCGTCATGGAGAAGTTCTTCGCGAGCGCGCCGGAGCAGGGCATCGTGGACCGCCTCCTGGCGGAGACGTTCGCCTCCCAGGAGAGCACGGACCCCCTCGGCGAGCTGCTCAGCCCCGTGGAGAAGGTGTGGCGGACGCATCAGCTCGAAACTGTCACTATTCCGATTTCATCCGGATCGACGAGCACAAACACGCGAACATTCGCATTTCTAGTACCGATAGTTTATAAGACGGCTGTATCGGAGGGATTTAGGTTTTTAAAATTGCAATGTAAAATTTAGTTCGCTATCACGGTGACAAATTTATTACATGTCGTGTGTTATTTGTTATATGAGAAAAAATATTTAACACTAATAGTAACCACTACACTACCCTTTCATCAATCAAAGCCATGACAATTTGTGCTTTATGTATTTTGACATTGGTACGATAACTGAGCTTAACGGACTTAGCCTAGTTAACGTATGTACCAATTTGATTGTTTATTAGCAACATCTTCCTCAATTAAAAGATTCTGAGGAAGTTCTTATCCTAAATTTATTTAATTAATCCTAAAGTGAAATAACTACGTTGTCTTAAGTTGAGCTGAAGTCGTATCTTATATTTCTTTTTTTCTTTCTTTCCTTATTTGAGCAGAAACATCTTTCTGCCACTTCTTTCCAATACAGATCAGCCTCCAAAAGGCAGCGACCGTAGGCCGCGTGGTGGAGCCAGTGCAGCATCAGCCCGCTGCAGAAGACGCGACCTTGAGGGAGTACAGGGACGCAGTATTTTCCAAAGGCATGGATGACCACGAAATGCCTTTATCCACCATCTTGAGTGAGGGAAAGACATCCAAAGGGAAGAGGAAGATAGAGGAACGGGAGAAGGCCAATTTGAGGACAGGAGTCCGAACCAAAAAGGCACGGACTCTGAAATAAATTGTGATTTCCGTAATACTAATTGTTAAACCAATATTAATATGTTTTTATGATTAGATTAGATTCTAACTTAAGAATTATCTTAAGATAAGAATAAAGTAATTGTTATGTTTACTACTTTAGTTGATTCAACGGAGAATGTTACGTTTAATTTGTGATTGAATAAAAATTTGATTTTATCAACAGCAATATTTTATTTTATTAACATCTCAATTGGCAGGATTTGCAATGTTTAAAACAAAATCTTATAATATAGGCACAATAACTTCTATAATTACGCTCCTCTGTTATAAATTTCATATTAACACAACATCATTTTGTTATTGTCATAAATTTAGTGCACACAATATTTGTACAAATGCAAGAAAACAAGCTTTCTACTGTCGAAGAACAAAAGAAGAGAGACTATATTTATAGTTTCAGTACTTAATCACTATTTTTGAAATGGGTTTATTTACATTTAAGTAGAAATTAATTGGGAAATTAACAGACAATCAGGGTTGATATTATAGCTAAGTTCAGTCCAATTCAACTCAGTACGTAAAAAGGCGACTATAATTAAAATATATGTACTATAAGAATATATATCATAAACTAGCGTTTATGTATCGACGACTTTGTTTCGTACTTTCCCATTCCCTTTCGGGATTCCCCGTGCCGTGCCGGGTAATTCCCCGTCATTCTAAATACACTGCGTTGCGCCACCACATTGGTGCTCCATAAACGGTATAGCTTTTCGAAGCAGCCTTTCCCGTACAACGAGATTTTACTCGACAAAGGTATCGCGAAGACTTCTAATACGGCGAAGGTGCAAAGCGTGGTGGGATTCCCGACATGGCAGTTCGCTAGGAGTAGGACTAGAGGTAGTTCGCGCTGTTCCGCATCGCTTCGTAGTCGCCGAAGTTGGTGTAGACGCGGCCCCAGTTCTTTTGGGTCCCCGAAGGGGTCCCCGGGCCTGTTTTTGGGCGGCACCGCCGTCCGGTTCGCGCGCTGCAGCTCCTCCACCAGCAGCGCCAACGTCACTGGCTCTCTGGATTATGATGGCGTTAAGTTTATTGTGAAAGCGCTGATTGCGTACGTGAGGATTTTTGATGTGGTTCCAATGAGGCGGCTAGGGTCAGACCTAGGGTTGCCAATTGTTTTTGAGATAAAGAACGTATCGCATTTCTAAAGTAGCGAAAAAATAAAATGTATGTGGAAGAAAAAAATTGTATCTTTCAAAATTTTATTTATTTATTATTTATTTCAAGTCATGAAGGCTTTATTTTTGTGTGATTCTAGAACACTGGCAGTTTTTTATTATTCTTAAATAGATGATTTGAGGATAGTGAAAAAATTTCAGGAAATATTTTCTTATACTTTATTTTTGTTCAAAAGTATAGGCATATTTGCCAAAAATAAAATAGGATACGTTATTATAAAGTAAGGTTGACAACCGGTCAGGTAGTCAGACCGGCTGTTGGAGGTTGGTTGTAGTGACAAGTGAAAAGACAGGGATTTTATTTTTTTATTTTTTGTAAAGTAAAAGTAAAATATACTTTATTGTACAAGAGACTTATTTATAATTAAAAGGTACAACAGACGGCCTTATCGCTTAAACAGCGATCCCTTTAAGTCAACCTAGGGATGTTGAATGAATGTGAAGAAATATTTCGATACATCGATATTTATAAAAATATCAATAATAAAAAAATACGGGCCAAAAAATCGATGTTAGAATTAGAAGAGTTGCCTTTTTAGTCGTCTGTTGCATTAGTGAAACCACTTATCGGTTGTTTAAGGACGCAATCCGTAAAAGGGAGATAAAACTGACTATATTAGATCTACCAGTGAAAGAATAAATGTAAGGTAAAAAATGTAAGTGTTATTGGATATTTCGACGTACAAAACAAATTCGTGATGTATAATTCCACATTTCAGACATCATTTCCAAATCTTCAATATTTTTTACAATATCATTTATTTCTATAACTAACTTTTTTTAAGACTGAAAGCTTTCTCATTTAATGTTTTTTAACGAAAACATTGCCCTTACTGTGGGATAACATTATCCTGTGTTGTAAGGACGTTTTACATTTCACGTGGAAAAACACCCAGATGCGAAACAATTGTCTGTCGGTCTCACTAATAGTTTTCCCGTGTAGGAATCGAACCCACGACCCCGACGCCGAAGCCCATATCTTGGAAACTGCACCACGAAGTTATCGTTATCACGAAGTATCGGAAAAGCTTTCAAAAAGCTATATTCAAAGAAGACTATACAAAACCACAATGCTAACATTAGCTAAGTCGCACAAATAAGGCACATAAGTATACTTACAAATCAGCCAAATTTCTCATTTCACAAGGATCTTCCTCTATGTTGAACAAGCATGGCGCCAACAAAGGCTGACATGGAATTGCCACGATGCTGGCGTTGCATTTAACTGTTGCTTCTTCTCTAAGGGAAAAACCAATATACAGCGTGTCGTTACCATCGCGACAATAAATGAACACACGTCTAACGCTACTTGTACTACGCTACTAATCATAAAAAAAATATTAACGTTAAACAAAATCCATATTAAAAAAAAATATTTTTCAAACAAACTAATTAAGTAAAAAAGAAACAAACTTTGTAACATCTTATACAACTCGCGCCACAGCGTCGTATTACAAGCCTCTCCTTCTAACAGTATGTTTTGTCTCTTAAATGCATTCAACCCATTCATATGCTTTGTGACCTTTACAAATGAACTTTACGTTACGCTTTTATAGGTAAGGGTGTTCTAAAATTCTTTGTTTTGGAAAATTTAATAACTCTGTAAATATTGAATTTTAAAGAATTTAAATGTTTAATACAACTTTAAAAAGTTATTCCCTATATGTGTGTTCATTTATTGTCGCGATGGTAACGACACGCTGTTTACAGTTATCAAACACTAAAGTCCGTCTTTGTACAAAAACATTTTTTGTGCATAAAGTTTTTAATAAATAAAAATAAATAGACTCTATCAGTTATGCTTCGAGCTACTTGGATACGGTTAAATCGAGGAAGCTGTGACTGGTTTACTAATGTTACTACGAATTCTAAGATTGTGGCGTCAAATATACAATAGTTGGCTGGAAAGAGGTTATTCTCGCTCAACCTTCCATAAACAATACTGATGATGTTATTGTTGATCGAAGTTCTCAAATACAGAAGACACTTTATACAATTTTTTTTTATATATGGAACTGACTAGCGCTTGACTACCATCCCACCTGATGGTAAGTGGCGATGCAGCCGTGGATGGTAAGCGCGCTAGTTCAGTAAAAGTATTTTGGCATTAAAAATTCCATTCTTTTTCCTAGTAGTGTTACTACTCGTAAAGTGTGAATTTTAAATGAACAAAATTTTCGGCGCCTTTCGGAACCTAAGTCTTCCGGGTAACGCGATCGTAACAGAAGAAGTTAATAAAATTTGATCATGTACTGCTAACAATCAGGTCATGAAAAATGTTGCCTAATCCTTTTATTTCAAACTGAACCGTGGCCCTAAAGAATATGAAATGACGTGCAAGACTTGCGTGGTAAAATATTGAATACCTGAGTGTTAGCGTTTTCTCTCTGGTAGGCATGAGGCCCAGCTTGTCTATGGCCCGTCCAGCGTCGCTGGTATAGACCAAGTCTACATTATAGGACCCTTCGCGTCCACTTGGCCCGTACCAGTTGTCCCAAGCGCCGTTATAATTCGTACCTAGTAATGCACAGTTAAACTTTTGGTTACAAGATTCCGTATTCAGTTTTGATAATTATAATGTCAATGGCGGACTGCCGACCTATTTTGCGCGGACGTGAATAATGTAATTTTCTTAATATTTGTAAAAACCTTCGTATTTTCTTTTTTTATCCTTTTATTTTATTTCTTCATATACATTTGTATCTATATTAAAGTTTGTTTATTGTAATTGTAAAAATGGAAATGCACGTGACGATGTATTTTGATTGGTGGCTCACCCTCTACGATCTTAAAAGTTTCAATGAAAGGACAAGCAGTCATATTTTTTAAAATAATATCACATACATCAAAACCTGTAGGGTAGGTACTTCTTTTTTATATATTAAATACGTTCGTTTTCCCCACGGCAAGGCTTTGCAGTTGTCAGATTTTTTAAAATAAACAATTAAAATCGAGTTAATCCTCCATCTAAGAGTTATCTAAGAGCCGTGATAGGTCAGTGTCCTCACCTTTAATTCAATATACTCGAGCAACCTGAGTTTGGGCCCATCCCCGGTACCGTCACCAATGAAATTGTTAATTTAAAGTGCCGACTTATCACGTGCTCAGCGGTGAAGGAAAACATCGTGAGGAAACCAGCATTTTTTTCGAAATAATAACAAAAAAAATGTATTTCGAAGATATGTGAAGTCCGCCAATCCGCAGTGGGGCCCCGTGGTGGACTATGCCCTGATATCCTCTGTACAGAGGAAGCCTTTGCCCAGCAGTGGGACATGTGCAGGCTGTTACTTCACTTTTTTTTTAATCCTCTATTGTAATATAAATATTATTAAATAATATTTTAATCCTTGTTTCACAATTAGACAATATGAGAAAATATATTAAAACATACTTAAAAAGAAGTTTCTTTAACAGTTACTACCTTCATGCGTACGTGCATAATAAAATGTAGGTATGGTTAAATACTTAGAAGTTTCTTTCACGATCCCTCACCCATATGCAGCTTCCATTGGTCGACAGTAATGGAGGCACTTCCGTAGATGTCGTCGATGTTGTGAACTATAGACTTCCTTTCGGAGACCAGATCTTCAGACAGAGCGGTCCATTGATTTACACCGTCTATATCACCAAGCTCCCTATACATTTGAAATTTAAATAAATTATTCATTCCCTGTATATTACACATTGTCATATTATTTTTTGATATTGAACGAAGTTCGTGCGCTATTACGGGCCCGAGACATTGACCGTTTTCAATTATAAGAACTTAAAAATAATCGGTAAGAAAAATTCCGCCATTTTCAATATTTAAGATAAGATTGGCGTAGTGTACGGTTAACCTGCCTCTTGCGCGCCAGAGGGTGTGGGTGCGATCTCCAATATTTACAAAGTAATGTGTTGTACAGTGTTTTTCTCTGGGTGTTTATATATGCATTATATGTATTTATTTACAAAAGAAAAGTATGTGTAAGTATGTTCATCAGTTGTCTAGTACAAATAGTGTCAGCGTAGCTTAGTTTGGAACTAGAGATCTTTGTGTAAAAATGTGTCCTAACAATAAGACGTATTTTGTACTTCAAAGTTTTTTTTTTTACTGTTTATCAAACGATTGATGTTGATCTATCTAATTTCACCTGACGTTTCCACCGGCCGCAGCTATTAGCGTGGGCAGCCAGTCAGAAATGTGGAGCCGCTGAGTGGCCACGCGGGGCTTGTTGGTGAACAGAGGACTCCACAGCAATGCGGCACCTCGCACACCACCCTCCCACAGGGTATTCTTTACCTGGATTAAGAAGTATCTTTAAATACAACATGTTATGCAGTCTATACCAATAATAAAATGAAGTGTCGGTCGAAAGATTCGTTTAATAATTGTCCGTAGCTTTGAAAGTTTGTGTCCGAAAGGCTTTCGGTACAAGATACGTCACTGTTGACGAAGTCGTAAGTGCTAGAGGAAAGTATTCAAGTGAGGTGTAGATAAAAAAAACCTGCCAAGTGCGAGTCAAACTCGCGCACGGAGGGTCCCGTACTTTTATCTATAAAAATGCCACAAAAATCATGTCTGTTGTATCTCCCATACACCCACCTGAATATTTTTGTGGTTTTTAGGTTATAGCGGCAACAGAAATACATCATTCGAGAAAATTTCAACCGTCTAACTCTCTCGGTTCATGAGATACAGCCTCGTAGCAGAAGGACGGACAGACGGACAGATAGCGAAGCCTTAGTAATAGGGTTCCGTTTTACTCTTTGAGTACTGAACCCTTAAAACTATCCATGCCAAATGAACATTGCCCAAATTGCACTATTTAAAAATGTTGTCAAAAAAAGAATAAAAATGTGCGTCGGCCATAAGAACTTCGCCACACGGCTTGACACTGTCTCAATTCAAATATGTATATCATTCATGCATTGCAGTGAATTACGGTTTTGTGATTTGTCCTTTCCACACAAGAGTATACACACGTAAATGTAAGAGATTTTCACGGTGGTAGGGCCACGCAGCAGCCTCGGCTGTTGCACGAATGGGCAGGCTCGTCCGGGTAAGTACCACGACCTCACAGAAGACCGGCGTTAAGTGGAAGTATAATACTTTCGCGTTTCGTCTGGTGAGTGAGGTGGCCGGAGCCCAATTTTCAAAAGGTTGTCAACGCAACTGGAACTTTAGGGTGTAGCAGATGTCCATGGGCGGCGGTATTCACTTAACATCAGGTGAACCAACTTTTCACATGAAAAAGGGGAACTTTCACTCGGTTCCCTGTCAGTATAACTCGTGCCAGCCGTGCGTGTTACACGTTGATTGTAAGTTAATCTAGTCGTACTCACCCCTTTCAGGGGGTAGTTCGAGGCCGCGTTGTTGTTGAAACCGGCCGCAGCCCCCCCGTTGTCGGTGGTGAACAAAACGATGGAGTTCTCCAGCATTGAGCTCTGTTTGAGCGCCTCGACCACTTTGCCCACAGACTCGTCCAGTTTCGTGACCATCGCTGCAAGAACAGGACAACTTCTAGAGTTATCTACAACGCACTGGGTGTTTTGCCCAAATTTAGCATTCAAATAACAGTTATGTTTTATAGACATATAACAGTATTGTTTTACATAAGTAGTATATATATATATATATATATAGTATAAGTATTGTTTTCACCGGGGAACTTTTTAAACATTTTTTCTTGCTTTCAGCTAAATTTATGAACCACATCTCTATTAAGGTTCCGTACCCAAAGGGTAAAAAGGGATTATTATGACTTCGCTGTCTGTCAGTCAGTTTGTCTGTCTGGCTGTCTGTCTGTCTGGCTGTCTGTCTGTCTGGCTGTCTGTCTTCAGTCTATCCGTCTGTCTGTCTATCACCGGGCTGTATCTAATGAACCGTTTTAGTAAGAGAGTTGAAATTTTCACAAATGATTTATTTCTGTTGCCGCTATAACAACAAATACTAAAAAAACAGAATCTTTTTTTTTTTAAATGGGGCTCCCATACAACAGACATTATTGCCGTTATTATAGACAATGGTACGGAACCTTCGTATGCGAGTCCGACTCGCACTTGCGCATTTTTTTTAATTCACAAAAACTAACTTTTCACATCGCAATAATTCTTTAAGTACAAAAGTATTATGTCCAGTAGCGGAATTAATGTCATCAGCATAGATAATGCTATATGGCATTTTCTGCGCGCGCGCATCGTCAAAATTTTACCCTGATAATTTTTTCGAAACGCGCCAAAAGAGGTACAACTTCGGGGAGGTTTTAAACTTGGTCTTACGCGGCAGTGTACGTTAATTGTGAAGAATCGGTGGAGTGGCCTGCCTACCGGCGAACTTCTGTCTCTGCGGGTGAGGTATATGGCTGAAGTTCGCCACTAGGGCGTCGGGCGCGCGCAGGAACTCGTAAGGGTTGCCGCTGTGGACCGCGGAGTGCGCCACCACCAGGAACATCGGCGAGGTCCGGTCGTGGTCGCGTATTAGCTGGAGGCGGATGGAAGGTCGCATGTAGGAATCAGGTTTCCTAGAACTTGATATCAAACACTTCACATTTCGGTGAAATGATCTGACAGTAGTCAAAGGCCGTTTCCAGGACCCGTTCGATTGCTTCAGCACCAACTTTTGTCGGCCGGCTTGGTCGACCGGCTTCCCTCGAGGCTGCTGACCCCGAAAGAATTACTTCTCACTTCATCACTATATACAGCGTGTCTTTACCATCGCGACAATAAATGCATATAGAGGATAACTTTGACGGCGCGTCTATGAAATCATGAAACACAATCGTCTATATTCGTTCATCATTCATTCGTTCATTCTTTTAAACCCTAGCTGTCAACCGTTGACATTTGACGTAACACCGAGCACTGGGGAGGCGGCCATTTTCTCGTGGGTCAGTCATCATTGAGCGGTTGTGAAGCATAGACGTTGCGCACGCGCCCCACGTGTTCCGGTGGAACGTCATTTAAGAAAACAATGTGTGTGATCAGTGAATAATTCAATTAGTGATTGTTAATTATCGAATCATTAAAGAAGTGTCTTGTCGATTTAAAACGTATTTCGTCATTTCATTAATCTTATCCGTCGCCCGTTTAACTCACGTAAAAGATGGAACAGTCAAGTGAAAATACCGACTTGTTCTACAACTTTTTACAATTGTATTAAACATTCACATTGTTTAAACATCAATATTTACCGAGTTATTAAATTTTCTAAAACAACGAATTTTAGAACAGCCTTACGTATAAAACTGTAATGTAAAGTTCATTTGTAAAGGTCACAAAGCATATGAATGGGTTGAATGAATTTAAAAGAGACAAAACATACTGTTAGAAGGAGAGGTTAGGTGTTGTAATGCGTCGCCGTGGCAACGAATGAAAAAGTCTCTGAATGTATGAATCAGTCCGTTGTAGTTGTATAGGATGTTACAAATTTTGTTTCTTTTTTACTTAATTAGTTTGTTTGAAAAATATTTTTTTTAATTATGGGTTTTTTAACGATAATATTTTTTAATGATTATTGGCAAGTAGCGTTACGACGTGTGTTCATTTATTGTCGCGGTGGTAAAGACACGCTGTATAGTATCACTACATAGTATAAAACAAAATCGTCCCGCTCTCTGTCTGTCCCTATGTATGCTTAGATCTTTGAAACTACGCAACGGATCTTGATGTGGTTTTTTTTTACTAGATAGAGTGAAAGGATGAAAGGATATAAAAATGGATGCGCCAAGCATTGCTTCAAATGCTAAAAAACAATGTAGATAAAAGGCATCAAGATTTTCGTCGGTGTAGCAATCAGCCGTTTAGCTCAGTGGCTAATGCGTCAGGCCGTGAATGCCGAAGACGTGGGCTCCATTCTCACAGCGGCGACAATCTTTTCGTACTTTTTCTACAAATTTTAATAAGACGTTATTCAAGAGGAAGGTTTATATGTATAACACATTAAACCCGTGCGAAACCGGGGCGGGTCGCTAGTATAGTTTAAAACAGTCAATAAAGTACTTGATACTTATATATGAGAACGCGTGACATGCTTGATGATGAAGCGAACTGAATGTCGATTATTTTACAATGAAACAAAAATGATAAGGCGTCTAGTAATCATGTCGAGCGTAGCTCGTACAAATGCTAACGAATCTTTCCGGTTTGAATGTACGTAATTGATGCGTTAAATTACTAACATACAATAAATATTATGTAAGAACTGTGGTAGGGCCACGCAGCAATCCTCGCTGTTGCACGAATGGGCAGGTCCGTCCGGGGAAGTACCACGCCCTCACAGAAGACCGGCGTGAAGTGGCAGTGTCATAATTCTACGTTTCGTCTGGTGAGTGAGGTAGCCGGGGCCTTTTTGGTGAATGGTGGAAAAGCATCTGCAACCCTACGGGTGTTGCCAATGTCCTATATCGATATTTATAATAATATCAAGATCGGTCTCGATATATCGAAGGGAAAATATCGATATGTCGAATATAGGTCCTTTTGTCCGTCCAAAAAATTATAAATGTTATGTCAAGTATTATTTGACACGTACTCTACGGACTCTGTGCTGGATTCTAATTTGAATAAATGTCGTTTTTAATACGATTTTCGTATATTGAATATTTCATATCGATATATCGAGTCCAAATATTTTTAATGTGAGAAATTTAAATTTAAAATTAAATAATTTTAGTACATTCTTATTTAAGAAACGTTTTGATTGTATTGAGTTTTGTTATTTTAAGACAAGCAAAGGCGGCGAGATAAGACATCATAATTACTGTAAAATGGGCAAATGTTAATATGTAGTTGTGTTATCTAATTTTGGAATCAATAAAAGAAAACAATAGAATCTTATCATACCTTTACTGCCTCATTTGTGTAGATGTCTGTCGCGTAGACACCGAATAGATCGTGGGCCACCTGAAAACCTAGCACCATAAGTGAATATATTACATTTGTTGCAAGTGAAAAACATTTTATAGTAAATTTTCAGGTAATAACCAACGGCCAATACTTACAGGCGGTTTCAATAACTACTATGTAAATTTTTATCTATTTCACTTACAAAACTTACAGGCGGCCAAAACTTTCAATATTTATGTAAATTTTCAACAAACTAGTTAGTATGTATTACACTCACAAAGTTTTTCTGATTAAGAAATCTGCAATCGAATTGTCTTCGTGAATTGGTCTCTCTCAATAAAATAATTTATCTTTCTGTTCCGCTGTTGGATTCTTTTCCTTAAGTGCGTATCAACTAAAACTCATGTAGTAAAACCCGACATAGCTCTTCGAGATCGTGATATATCAAATTGGCACGCCCACATTCGAGACTCTCTTGACTTCCGAGATATTGGCTTCGGCGTCGGGCGTCGTGGGTTCGATTCCCGCACGGGACAACTGTTTGTTTGACCCACAGATAATTGTTTCCGACCTGGGTGTTTGTCCACGTGAAATTTATGTACCTATGTAAAACGACCTTAAAACACACGACGATGTTATCCCAAAGTAAGGGCAATATTTTTAAAACAAAAAAAAAACCGTAGAAACTTATCCTTGCCTCGAGCTCTATGTCCGATTTAGCGTTGCATATTCTACGGACTGGTGGCGCAAACTTTAATTACAAACAATTCCATTTTTTAATAACGAAAAACGAAAGCGACTTCAAATATCTCGCTCTGTATTCATTTTATAAATGATTTTTAGGAGTTCCCCGAAGTATCTCCGGAGCTCAAGATCCAATACCAATTAAATTAATCTGGGACCTCATCGGAAGCACCAGCTTTCAAATAAAAGAAGAATCATCAAAATCGATCCACTCACACGAAGGTTCTGAGGTAACAAACATAAAGAAAATACAGTCGAATTGAGAACCTCCCTCCTTTTTTGAAGTCGGTAAATCATTTTGGCGCCTTCTACTCACCGCGTCGGAAATCGAAGCCCCACGAGCCGAATTCGACCGAGGTGTGGTCGTATAGGTCGATCTTGCCCGTCCAGAAGCCGAGGTGCGTATCGAACCTGGGTCACAGTGGAAAACGTTAGACACCATGCGGTTTATGGTGTGTCATGGCAGTCGAAAACAGACCTAAATAAGTATTCTATTAAGTATAATTAATGTTAAAGAATTCGGTATAATTTAAAACGAACTGCTCGACACGTTAAACACACTTCGTTACATGACTTAGAAGGAAGAGTGTAAAAGAGAGCGACGTATTCAATAATTGCACGCGTTGTGGACGTCGCCGATCTGTATCAAGCGTTGTAAACATTTCTCTTTTTCTACTGCCCTTATCCTATCTAGGTGGAGCGGGCACAATGAAAACATGTAAATCGTATTGTTAATTAAATTGCTTTTTAACTACGCGTATGCTTTCGGAACAACTAGGTCCGGTGCCGAAGCTAAATCTATTAAATAGCTTGGGATAAATTAGCCTTAATAAGTTAATGTATAATGTAAAATAATTGAATAAAGTTATATTATCAAGTGAAATTCACAAAACATTATCTCTTAGTTTGGCGGGTTTGCTGTTCTATAGCGTCTCTTATCGAGTCAATAAATTATTGTACCCGCGGTTTAAAGGCAAGTAATCCCTCTTGTAGCTGCCAAGGTGCCATTTGCCCACCAGATGCGTTCGGTAGCCCAGCTCTCGTAAATACTCGGGTAGAAGCTTCTCAGATAGCGGTAGGCCGCGGGGTTCGTTGCCATAAATAACGGAATGTTGCATGCCTGAAAAAAATCATCAAATATATTTCGTTACATAAGAATAATCATAGACTATTTTTATTTTGAAAAAATCGTACGTTTCGCATTTTAATAAAATTTCTTTAATATATTTCGTGTTATTTTTTCTTTCTCTAGCAGTAGCTTCAACTATGGTAGGGGCACGAGACAGTTCGGCTGTTGCACGAATGGGCAAGTCCGTCCGGGTGATTACCACGACCTCACGGAAAACCTGCGTGTTGTGGAAGTGTTATTCTTCTGCGTTTCGTCTGGTGAGTGAGGTAGCCAGGGCCCAATTTATTAAAGGTGGCAGCACATCTGCAACCCTGCGGGTGTTGCAAATATCCATAGGGGGCGGTTATTACTTAAGTGAACCGCTACGCTCGCTTGCCACATTCTTACATAAAAACAGTCAATCTGTTTTGAAATAAAAAACACTACGAATATATGAGTATAAAACTGTGACGACTCATTTTTCATGCAAATTATAATATTATACGTCCTATTATTCCTGCTTCCTAAAAATCCTCGACAATATTTTCTGCACGTGTGAGATATTGCCAAATTTAAATTAAGAATATATAAAACCGTCTATTTCTTTATATTGTAATTAATTAAAACTGAAACATTTATGTATTTAAATATATTGACAAAGCATACTTTCATTATTTAAAGTGGGAAACATGAAGTTGATGTTATACGTCACTGCCGGTAGTCAGAGGTGGGGCAGAGTAGGTTGTTTGTTACTGTGTATTTAAAGGCGAGCTTCGTCTATAGAGGGAGTACTTTAACTTCCGAGAATTGAGGAGACGTTACTTTGCTCCCTGTCGGTTATATCTGACTCCGAGTACCTATTACCTACATATTAAAGATAAGTATCTTTGAAATTAAATTGAGACTAGTATATAGTCTTGTATATATACACATATACAGCGTGTCGTTACCACCGCGACAATAAATGAACACACATATAGAGGATAACTTTTTAAAATTGTATTAAACATTTACATTCTTTAAACATCAATATTTACCGAGCTATTAAATTTTCCAAAACAAACAATTTTAGAACACCCTTACGTATAAAACTGTAACGTATAGTTCATTTGTAAAGGTCACAAAGCATATGAATGGGTTGAATGAATTTAAAAGAGAAAAAACATACTGTTAGAAGGAGAGGCTTGTAATGCGACGCTGTGGCGCGAGTTGTATAGGATGTTACAAATTTTGTTTCTTTTTTACTTAATTAGTTTGTTCGAAAAAAAGCTTCGAAACTTGTGAATTGCCTTTGTTCTGAGACATGACGCGACTTTGAGTGATAGCTTAATTATTGTTACACACAAAAGAACGTTCACGAACGACGATAATGTACGATAATGACGAAGCTTTCTACGTCTCATTAAGTCATGAATCTAGGCTCCAACAGACGCATGTTTGATAAAGGGATGTATGCCAGCAACGTGAGATACACTTATCGGTGAAATTCAAATCACGAACCCATTAACACCTTTGAGATTTGTTAATTAGTTACTATATACGGTCATATTTGTTATGGCAAGCACAAAAACAATAGTTATAAGAGTGGCCCCTCATAGTACGTTGAAAAAAGTATTTGTTGCTATGTAAAATAGTATAAGTATATGAAATCTTTCAGTATAGCAATAAAAAAACTGCTATTTAGCAAACAGTTATTTTAGTAAACAGTGTGTCGATGCCCTTACTCTCAACAATGTTTTACCGTTAGCTTTATCGAGCGTTACCTAACTGTCATTTGTCGCGTCGGCATAACATGTATGGTTAGTTTACGACGCCACGGATTAGATATTATCTGTGGAATATGAAACCGCTCGGGTAATCATATTTATTTTAACGATAAGATATTCGTATGCCAGGAAAACTTCAAAATAAAAGCTCAACTGAAATGGGAAATACTACTAAAATAAAATTAGAGACCCTCTTTGCTAGCTTTAGAATTTTACAATGCCCTAGTTGATATATATAGCATCTTTATAATTTTTATATATCCATAAGTTTAATCAACTGCAGTAGTCTTGTTCAAAGTCAGCATGCACTGGTTATAAGCTAGTGACCGCTCAAATGGCATTTCCTCTCCACTGTCTTTGGCTAGAAAGTAGCTATTATTAAATACACTCGAAAATGTTTTAATGAAATAATAATCCCTTAGTATAGTTTAGTTCACTCGTAGTTTAACGCTAATAAAAATGCAACCAAAATACATTTTATAGAAGAGTTAAGATTTTTATTTACCTATACATATATTTGTGAAAATATATTTTCAATGTAAAATTCCTAAGTAAGTTGTATGACGATGTTTTGGTTGAAGTAAAAAAAAAAAAGAAAACGTGTTCAAGAGGAAAGTCGAAAATATCAATTTTTCTGGAAATTCCAAGGTCCAAGCGAAAGGAATCCCGAGCCGAATTTATTTTTTAAATGCATTGGTAATTCACATCTGTTAAATTGTGTATTAGATTGATTTAGTTTGTATTTATAACTTGAAGTAGTGCTTTTGATAACATTAGATATCAAGCGGATAGGAGTAAAAGAAAATTCTATTTGATTTGTATTAAATTTCGTTCATTTATGAAAAAAAAGACCATTTTTATAAAACAACTTGTTGTGCTAGTTATCAAAGTAATTGTTTATCACATCATTATTAACCCACATACTATACTAGCGACCCACCCACGCTTCGCATGGGTGCAATATATTAAACATATAAACCTTCCTCTTGAATTACTCTATCTAGTAAAAAAAGCGGATCAAATCCGTTGCGTAGTTTTAAAAATCTAAGCACACATAGGAACAGACAGACAGCGGGACGACTTGTTTTATACTATGCAGTGATAGCAAATTACAATATTCTTTGTTGCATAAGGCGGTTCTACTGGGGAAGTATCATTTCACAGCGGACCCATTTACATTTATTTCCACAGAAAATTATTTTAACTAGGTCGATTAAGCTCAGCATTACCGAAAGTCGCGGTAGTTCGCGAATATTCGATTTTAATAAGTAAATCACCTGAGTTCGAATCATGATGCCGACACATATAAAATTGTTTTCCAATTTTTTGTGCTGACTCAAGTTTTCAGCCGTGCAGTAATACATCGTGAGTAAGCCGTTTACGTAATTATAACAACTAAAAAAATATTTCGAAGTCTGCCAATCCGCAGTGGAGTCACATCGTTACATAGTATAAAATAAAGTTGCCCCCGCTGTTTTGTACGCTTTGATCTTTTAAACTACGCAACGGATTTCAATGAAGTTTTCAGCAATAGATAGAGCGATTCTAGAGGAAGGTTTATTTGTAGTATACATGTATTATAGTAGAGGTATATAATATTATAGTAGAGGCAAGCCAAGAAATTCAAAGATTCGTAAAGTGATTTCGCAACAAACACATTATTTTTGTGCGCTTTATATTGCAAACGCTGGCTAAACCTTATAAGATATATCAAATGAATTTATGAATAAATAATCTTTTTTGTACACACGATGGTAAAAAATACATTAAAACACAGGGCCTTTGTACAAATTACTTCATGTATTTACATTTTTGTCGTAATTCTCTGTGTACATAAATTATAAAATAAATAAAAAAATAAAAATGACAATTACCACGAAGCCGTGCGAATCCGGGTCGCTATTATAACATATAAAGATATAATGATATAAAAATAAAACAATGTAGATAAAAGACGTCAAGATTTACGACCGTGTGGACATCAGCTGTTTAGCTTAGTGGCTAAAGCGTCAGGCCGCGAACGCCGAAGACGTGGGTTCGATTCCCACAGCGGCGACAATCTTTTCGTACTTTTTCTACAACTTTTAATATATAGGCTGTTACGTTAGTTTACTTGAGATCTTACCGGTATGTATCGGGTATTTCCCCGTCATGAGAGCGGAGCGGGAAGGTGTGCAGATTGGAGTCACGTAGTAGTTCTGCAGCACCAGGCCCGAACACGCCAGGGCGTCGATGTTCGGGGTCGGGATCTGATTAGACCCGTGGAAGCCGACATCGTTCCAGCCCTGAAACGAACCGGATTTATAACGCTGCTTTCCACTAAAACTTCACCGTTTACTGTTTTAGTACGTAGCAGTATTTGGTGCACATCAATAGCGGTAAAACGGGACCCTATTATTAAGACTCCGCTGTCCGTCCGTTTGTCTATCCGTCTGCCACCAGGCTGTACAAAGAGAATGTAATCACTACGTTATTACATTCTCTTTACGTATTGTTATTTATTTTACGTATTGTTATCATTTATTTATATGCGTATTTATTCTATTTACGTTGAGGCTGTATCTCATGAACCGTGTTAGTTAGACAGTTGAACTTTTCACAGATGATGATGATTTCTGTCCCGCTATAACAACAGATACTAAAAAACAGAATAATTTTTTTTAAGTGGGGCTCCCATACAGCAGACATGATTTTTTGACGTTTTTATTGATAATGGTATGGAACCATTCGTGCGCGATTCCGACTCACTTGGCTGGTTTTTTTATGTTTGTAACCTCAGAACTTCGTGATTTATGAACCGATTTTAAAAATTATGTTTGTATTCAGTTTAATGGTTTAGCGTAGCTTCCATGTGGTCACATATTAATATTAATTGTATTGCACCATACGGAGATACATCAGGACACTGCTCAAAATCGAGGTGGGTTTTGTGGTGTTTTTTCGCAAGGTCGATCCTAATACCATCTGGACAAGGGGAGCGCTTTGGTAAGTGTGTACATTTTTCATTTTTGCGGGACAGTATTTTTCTAAACATGTACAAAAATTTCACAAATTGTAGTCACTCGTTTGTTTAGAATTAGTATGTGTGAATTATGTTGAATAGACACTTGGCGTTAACTATAGACAATACAATAGTAAATGAATTTTAAGGTCTTGAATGGGTCGCTGAATCTTATCGAATTATTTTGCAAGGCGACTGTGTATTACCTCTTAAAGCGACTTTGAATAACAACTATAATAAAAATATTATTTTTTATCTATAAACGTAGGTATTGTCGTTCATCAGAAAACTTGAATGCACATGAAGACGACTCGTTTGTTATATTGTATATTATTAAATTTATAATGTCAAACGTGGCTATTGATTCTCTCTTATAATGAAAATGTCAATTCAAACTAAATGCAACTACTAAGTTTTGGTAAAAAAAAAAAACAATCTCAGGAAATTAGGCTAAACTAAACTTAAATCATTTTTCGAATTATTTCGTAGTTCAAATAAAAATACAAGTGCATTATTATATATCTCTGCGTGAGGCTGTAGCGAAGTTGTTATTCATGAGCATATCATTAATTTCAATTTCAAACGGCTTGTTTTGATACCTTGCACATTTCATTAGAAAGCAGTCACATGACCTCTCTCGCGTGCTAAATTTGGGATTGGTATTCAGCGCTGACCATTACAAATTTGAGTACATTCAGTCTAGCCGCTGTTTTTACGAAAAATGCGCAGAATAAAACATACAATATCAGTAATATTTCGCAATCGCACGCTTCTATGATCGCCTTTGATAGTACGTTAAAGCGTGAAAATTAACTATACATTGTATGTCGTGATAATATCGAAATAATGAAAGTATTTTCGTGAGCTTATTACAGAAGCTTATCTCACGAATGCGAAACGATCTAATAAGGCGTACCTTTTAAGCTCACATTACTGTTTACACCAGACAGAATAATAAGTCATTCGGCAAGACAGTTCGTAATAAAAAAACAAGTATAATAATCGAATCATAACATAAACTACCATTAAGATAAGAATATGTAGTACAGTAATCATGTTTTGAACACAAAAGTGGCTTCCACAGTCCTCGCATTCAGGCCGATTTGTTTTCTACAAAATAATTATTGTAATATACGTACCAGGTCGTCGGCAATAATCAGGACTATGTTGGGTCTCGGTATTTCGGCCCAACAAAGATTTAGCAGCGTTAGCAAGACAGTAAATCTAGACATGCCGGCGTCGCCTCCGGACTGCGGAGAGCGAATGATGAAAATAGGTTATCAGAGACCCGACGACGCCAGCCGCGAGGCGCCGCTATGTTAGCTAGGCTGACCATGATTCGCTTAAACACGCTCTACACCCTAGTCAGGCTCGTGGCTATTAGAATGAATGAAATAAACTTTATTGTACACTAATAACGGATATTGAATAATTAACAAAAAATAATACAAAACTGTACAATAGGCAGCCTTATCGCTTAAAAGCGATTTCTTCCCTGCAATATTAAGGAATTAGATTTTATTCTGTATGTAAATGAACCCCGTTGCTTATACTTTGACACTGGCAGGCAATTTTCGAATCTACATTGTTCAATTTTCATATTTCTTAATTTACGAAGCCTCGTCAATAAGATTAGACTTTAAAATGTTAGGCTAATGTCCACTACACTATAATTTTATAAACAGCCGAACGTTGTTTGCAAGTTTGTAACGTAATTTATAAACTTAGAAACTATCTAATTACTTAGGGAAAGTTACATTATTCCGGAGTAACATGAGTTATATTTTATTTTTAAAAAAAACTGGAAATCCCTACGAAAATAGCACTATTGTATAACGAAGTGTCTAAAATGTCCTTGTGTTTGATGTAAGTAAATAAACAGAATTGTCTGGCTTTTTATTCCAGCCATCAAAACCGTGTCAGCAACTTTATTTGCTTTTAGAAATACATGTCTTTTATTATATTGTGCTTGAACGAAACGGGCTGTATTGATGATAATGTAACTTAGGAGAAAATACGTTTACCGCGCTGTGCATCCTAAACCTTTTGGCGGATCCAGCTTTGGTGCCAGGGGCGGGGGGGGGGGGGGGGGGGGGGGGGGGGGGTCACGTAGTCGTGGTCAAGTGATAAGAAGTTATAATTAAATGTTTATAATCATAGATACAAGTAAAAAGTAGGTACTTATTTTTATGCGACTTCAAAAAGAAGGAGGTTATCAATTCGGATGTGTATATATAATTGGAATCTCGGAAACGGCTCCAGCGATTTTCATGAAATTTAGTATGTGCGTAGATTCGGGGGCGAAAAATCGATCTGACTAGGTTTCATTTTTAGAAAATGTCGTTTTATCCCAGTTTTCAGGGAATGAAAAATATTATTCAAATACGACGGTAAATTTCACCGAAAAAAAATGTTACAATAGCTCGGTCGGTAATCGGGCGGCCGCTAACAAACAGCCACGAAACAGAAGGCCGTGGTTCGTATCACGATCATTTACACACTTATTTTTTTACTTTTTTTTCGATTCCAGATTATTTATTTTTTGTCGATTTGTTATTTAGTTATTTTTTTTCCCTTTTTTTTAAGTTCTTTCTTTTGTGAAAAACACCAGTTCATATTTTCTTATTATTACGTCGGTAAGATCGAAAAATATTATGCATATTTCATTACTCAGTAATTTGTATCTAAATGTAATTTCAAAATACACGATTTACCAAAAAAAAAAAACAAACCTCCAGGTACTCATATATTATACAAGGTGGCTTTTATAAAGGTGCCCAAATTCACACAGGAGGTTCAGACTCGGTAGTATAATCGTTAATTGAAATAAAAACAAACTTTTTTTTTTAAAAAAATATGGCATTCTATTCCCTAAAAAGAAACTTGTTGACAATGAGGTAGTCATTCATAAATGCGTCGTATACTTTTGAAACGAACTTGTGTGCTTGTTAGTTATGAATGATCGCGCGTAAAATAAATGAGTTGCCCATAAATCACGCACTTTCTGAGATAAGTTCAAATGAATGTAATTAATTAATTACGAGTGATTTCAAATATTTATCATTATTTATATAACATTATTTATGTTTAGAATTTGATTAAAAAATGGATACACTTAGAAAAGCCTCCCTGTATAGTATTTTTTTAAGTAGCTATTGGTAGGCTTACTTATTTTTGCAATTTATTTTATTTATTTCTTCGTTAACCAGATTTTATGTAGTCGTATTGGTTATAATATTCTCCATTCCTCTACTCTGCACGCTGTCTCCACTTCAATGACAAGTAGCCTAAGACGGTACTATCGGAACACTGGTTAATAATAATATATAATCGACCCAAATGAAAACTCCTAAAATAGCCGTACATAAAATAAAATTATTTATTTATTTATTTATTTATTTATTTAGGCTTACCAACTAAATACATACAGAACAATATTAATAAAGATTTACAGGTACCAACGGAATTATACTATATATGTATTTAACTTAAAGGTATGCACAACATTTCCATATGAAACTTAAAATTAACAAATGATGAAATATAATAGAAACAAAAAAAACAAACTACACTATTCTATGCAATACAATTAATTTTAGTTGAGAGCTTAACATTTTATAATTTAAGGTTTTTATCTCTAGTTTGAATATAATATTGATATAATTTCTTTTTTAAGGAACCCAGACTATCGCTAAAGAGATCTATATTACATTTATCGAAAATGTCGTTGTACTTTCTCATCATAAAACATACAGGAGAGTTGCTACCATACTTATTGCTATTAAAATTTACACTGAAGGGATGAAAATTACACAACCTTGCTGAAACTCTGGGCACCTTCAAGTTAATTTGTGATAGGAGGAAAGGACAATCCACTTCATTATTAAGAAGTTTATGTAAGAAAGTTATAGACAGCAGATTCCTACGCTGCTCCAATGATAACAATTTAAAATGAGCCAATCTTTCCGAGTATCCGTGAATTGTACGATGAACGCCACTTACATAAGATATTTTATTTAAAAATAGTTTTTGAATTCTTTCTATTCGCTGAATATTATTTTGATAAGATGGGTACCATACGACAGAACAATAATCCACATGACTACGAACCAATGCAAAATACAGAGTTTTTAACGCTAAAACCGACTTGAAATCTTTGGTATGTCTGAAAACAAAAGCTAACATTCTTAATGATTTGTTTATGGTCTTGTTAATGTGGTTGGTGAATCGCATCTGAGAGTCAATAGTAATGCCTAAATCCTTCACTTCATCTACTTTCGCTAAACCCACTCCATTAATATTGTAAGTGCTATCATATTTGTTAAATTTTCGAGAGAATTTAATGTGATAACATTTATTTGTATTGAGAGACATTTTTTATTCTGCCGGCACCATTCTGTAATTCTATCTATGTCCTCTTGAAGTTGAATTCGGTCTGTGTTATTATTTACAATTTTGGATATCTTTAAGTCATCTGCGTACAATTCAAATTCGGAGTTACGGATACAGTACTTAATATCATCTATAAACATAATAAAAAGTAATGGGCCAAGGTGCGAGCCCTGTGGAACTCCAGATGTTGGTATAATTTCTCTAGAAACATAGCCGTTGATGACTACTCTTTGTGTTCGATCTGTGAGATATGAAGCAAACCAATCTAAAAAACATCCATGTATGCCAAATATTGTTTGTAGTTTGTTGATTAAAATTAAATGGTTTACTGTGTCAAACGCTTTACTAAAATCGTTATAAACAGCATCAACTTCATTTCCTGTGCTCATTCTAGTAAGTGTTCTATCGACAAATGTAATAAGATTAGATGTAGTAGAGCGTTTTTTGAAAAAATCCGTGTTGTTGATCGGGTTATAATATGTTTTATATGACAAGTCAAATAAGGACATATTAATGATTCAAAAAGTTTACCTAAAACTGGAAGAATGCTAATAGGTCTGTAGTTGCAGACATTACTCTTATCACCTGATTTATGTAACGGTATAATTAAAGCATCTTTCCAGTGTTTTGGAAATATACCTTCAGATAGCGATCTATTAAAAATAATATGTAAAGGTTTAGTGAGCTCTACTGCACATTCCTTCAGAAACAAGGGGTGAATCCCATCACTTCCTGCACCCTTAGTTATATCTAGAGCCTTTAAGCACTTTTCAATACTGTCACTAGATAAATAAACATTTCCCATGGAGCGAGCAGACTCTGGTATTTCTATTTTGTTTATATGTAAATTAATATCCTTAGGTTTATAAACCGATTCAAAATTTTCGGCAAATAAGTCCGAAATTTTTTCTCCATTTCTAGCCTCTTTATCTCCAAATTTCATGTTAGAAGGTATACAGCCATCATTACTACATTTATTTTTTATGTAAGTCCAGAAGTACTTGGGGTCTTTAATCACGCTGTTAACAACATTTTCAATGTATCTATCACAACATTTCTTGATTAACGTTTTAGTTCTAGCTTTTAAGATATCGTATTCAAATTTATCTAACTCATTCTTGTACTTTTTAAACCTTTGGCGTGATTTTTCCTTTTCTCGTAACAGTTTTATGAGATTTGATGTGTACCATAGAGGATACGATTTTTTGTTTTGTTTGTGACATGGAACACATTCAGTGATAACTTTTTTTATAATGCAGTAAAACTTCGATACGACTTCATCAACAGTTGAACAATTTTGGAATTCAGAAGTCCAGTTATGTTCACATAAACGGGTTCGTACAATATCATAATTCGCTAAAAAAAACTTATATTTAGGAATTTGTCTCGGAGAGAGCATTTTTGTTTTACTCAAGAGTAATTCTACTTCAATTGGGGGATGATAGTTGTCTACTCGAGACATCACGTTATTTGATTTTTTGACGGTAACATCACATATTGTGTTACTCAGCACTAGGTCGAGAATTTTGCCCTGGTGGTTAGAGATCTGATTGTATTGCTTAAGGTTATAACTAGATAAAAAGTCGACGAGATCATAACCGCATCAATTACATCGTCCACATTAAAAAAATGTTCATAAATAACAAAACAAATATTAATTCATTCATTCATTCATAACATTCAGCGCTTCTTATCCATCTAATCAAAGACAGAATCCACATTCACAAAAAACTTAATTTCCCAAAGATGGTCTCGCATACTCACGTCCACTAAACCACCACATCTCACCACCCATCAAAATCCCACCCATCAAGACAAATCAAACTCGACACAGTTGTGTTCCTTAATTACTGAGTTCCTATGGCCACATTCCAGCCCTGTCATCAGACCCTGGTTACCATCTAGCACCAAAGAACTCGTCTTAGCGAATCAAACGAGCCGAAA